AATTGTTTGTTTCAAGAAAGGGAGGTTTTCTTGTGTGTGTGTGTGTGTGTGTGTGTAGCCTTGGCTGTCCTTGAACTCACTCTGTAGACCAGGCTGGCCTCGAACTCACAGAGATCTGCCTGCCTCTGCCTCCCAAGTGCTGGGGTTAAAGGCGTGTGCCACCATCACCTGGCCGCAATCAATCAAACTATCTATCTATCTATCTATCGTAATTCAAGAGACAGGTAAAGGACCCATGTCTTTAATCCCAGGACTCAGAGGTAGGCGGATTTCTCAGGGTTCGAGGTCTACAGAGTGAGTTCTAGGACAGCCAGAGCTATATACTGAATCCCTGTCTCTGAAACAAAAAAAAAAAAAAAAAAAAAAAACAAGAAACCAGCTCAAGGACTGTGGCGAATCTGCTGCAGCCAATAAAGAGTTCCTCTGGAGGACGGCGTAAGAAATCCTCAGTCGCTGGTAAACGGGCGTTGGGAACGGCCTCTGTCTCGGCGCGGAGAGAACCCAGGACTTGCTGAGGTGAGTGGAAGCTCGGAGGGAACAGGGTCAACGCGAGGAGGAGAGTGGCCAGCAGGCCCGGCGGGGCACCACGTCCGCGCATGGCCGACGCCAGTAGAAGCCTGGCGGAGGCGGAGGCCGGGAGGTGGAGTGGGACTAAGGGTTGGGTGGGAAGTCGGGCCCCGGGGGAGCAGGAGGAGTCAGCCTCCAGGTCTCGTCTGGGCCCAGCCCGAATCTGGCGACCCAGGAACCAGCTTCCTATCGGCACTTCCGCCCTGGCTTCCTCAGCACCACTGCGCATGCCTGGAACGGGTACTTCCTGGCAGCTGCTGGAGTATTCCAAGGGGAAGTGCCCGAGACCTCCCCTCTCCGGTGAGACCTGCTCCCCCCCGTTTGTTTTTTTTTTTTTTTTTTAATTAAAGATGGAGAGCTCATGTATCCCGGGCTGGCCTCCAACTCATTAGGTAATCAAGGATGGCTCTGAACCCCATATCAGTCTCTCCAGTACTGGGATTACAGACCTGCGCCACCACTCTTGCCTAATCTCTGAAAAAACAAAACAACAAAAAACTCGCCGTTAATTCCAACCTTTGAGAGGCAGGCAGTTTTCTTGGAGTTCGAAGCCAAAGCCAGCCTGGCGTATATCGTGAGTTCAGGACACCAGGACTACACAGGGAGACCCTGTCTCAGCAAACAAAACAAAATAACCTTCGAAGCTTTATGTATGCTATAAGTAATTATAAATAAGAGACACCACTCCAAAACTCAGTGAAGGGCGGGGGACTTTGGCAGAGTGGTTGTGTAACGTGCGAGAAGCCCTGGTTCCATCTCCAGCACCCATTAAACTTAATGTGCTGGCACATACATTGGGGAGAGGTAGTGCGGCAGGAGCAGCAGAAGTCAAGGAAGGCCAAAGATAGCCCGCACTGTGTGAAACCTTGTCTCTCACACGTTTTAAATTCCAGGATAGTTTTATTTGAGTTTAAAAGGAAAAAAAAAAAACAGGGCAGAAAGCTGAAATTACTGTCAGCTCCCTGAGGAAGAAGATAAAGAGAGGAAAGTGCTGAGCGGTGGTGAAGCTCGCCTTTAATCCCAGCACTCAGCAAGCAGAGGCAGGTGGATCTCTGTGAGTTCGAGGTCAGCCTGGTCTACACAGTGAGTTCCAGGACAGGCTCCAAAGCTACAGAGAAACCCTGTCTCTTAAAAAAAGAAAGAGAGAAAGAGGGAGAGAGAGAATTCATGGCTCAGTACAAAGGAATCTACAGAGAACACCAGAGTGGGGAGGGATGGTCTTAACGGGGCTAGGGCTCTCTTCTGGCTTTCACCTGAAGGAATTCCATGCATTAGGGAGAAGATAACAAATGGTTAGAGCCAGAGCCCAGGAAGCCTCTTTCCCACTGGTGGCCTGTCTGGCTGTGTGCTCTCCTCTTGCTCATAAGGACACCAGGGAGGCAGTTTTGTTGTTTGTGAGTGATAAGTTGGTATTATTCTTTTTATGACTTGTAGAAGACTGTAATGTTGGTATTTTTGCCTCTACTCCCTAAGTGTTGAGATGAGGTGTGTGCCACCACACCCAATTTTTCATTGTTGTTTTATTTTAAAACTTATTTTTACATGTATGGGTGTTTTGCCTGCATGTATGTTTGTGTACCATATGCGTGCCTGGTGTTCACAGAGGTCATAGGAGGGGTTCAGATCTGGAACTGAAATTACAGACAGTTGTGAGCCACCCATGTGGGTGCTGGGAACCAAACCTGGGTCCTCTGCAAGAGCAGCCAACCCTCTCAACTGCCAAGCCACCTCTCCAGCCCCTAACTCTGCTTTTTGAGACCCGTAGCCCAGACTAGCCTCAGATTCATGGCAATTCTCCTGCCTCAGCCTCCTGAGTGATGGAACTACATGTGCACATTATCATGGTCAGGTGTAAGTACCATTTTAGGGACAGGGAAAGATGCTGTAGGAAGGAGTTGCCTTCAGTGTTTCTGACTCCCAGTTGTATGCAGATTTCAGCATCGGGTCCAAGTGAGACTGAATTAGGTGTCAGGTAAGTGAGCCACAGCTGGGGCTCAGCAGTTATTCTCAAGCCCAGAATGAATGGGTCATCCTCTTGGGAGCCGAGAAGAAAGCCCTAGTCCTAAGCCCACTGCCCTCACAATGGGTAGTGAAGTTGGTGGCATGTGCCTGTAATCCCAGCACTCAGGAGGGTGAGATAAGACGATCAGGGGTTTGGGGTCAGCTTGGGGCTGTAACGGAGGCCCTATTTAGAGTGTGGGGGCGGGTGAATGGCACTGCTTCCCACAGCTGTGGTGAGCGTGGAGACGCACAGGTGCTTCACATCCGCTTGCTGTTCCTGTTCTAGAACATGAGTGACTGGGTGCCCATTGCCAAGGAATATGACCCGCTTAAAGCTGGCAGCATCGACGGCACAGATGAAGACCCACATGACCGGGCTGTGTGGAGGGCCATGCTGGCCCGCTACGTACCCAACAAAGGCGTTACTGGAGACCCCCTTCTTACCCTGTTTGTGGCACGACTCAACTTGCAGACCAAAGAGGAAAAGTTAAAGGAAGTCTTCTCCCGCTACGGTGACATCCGGCGGCTGCGGCTGGTTCGGGATCTAGTGACCGGCTTTTCCAAGGGCTACGCCTTCATCGAGTACAAGGAGGAGCGGGCCCTGCTGAAGGCCTACCGCGATGCCGATGGCTTGGTCATCGACCAGCATGAGATATTCGTGGACTATGAACTAGAGCGCACCCTCCGTGGCTGGATCCCTCGGCGACTGGGTGGAGGGCTGGGTGGGAAAAAGGAATCTGGGCAGCTGAGATTCGGGGGCCGGGATCGGCCTTTCCGAAAGCCCATCAACTTGCCCGCTGTCAAGAATGAGCCGCATAGAGAAGGGAAAAGAGAAAGGAGAGAGCGATCTCGATCCCGGGACAGACACTGGGATCCCAGGCCCAGGGAGCGGGACCTTGACAGGGGCCGAGAGAAACGCTGGCAAGAGAGGGAAATGGCCAGGGTGTGGCCTGAGAATGATTGGGAAAGAGAGAGGGAGTTCAGGGAGGACAGGGCTAAAGGCAGGGACAAGAGGGACAGAAGTAAGTAAAGCCAATGGCAGGCCACAGAAGCCTGCCCAGAGGCCCGGGCCGCCATCAGACTGGGGCAGCTCCCTTTCCAGCCCAGAACCCAGGCTCACACAGACCTAAGAGAGGCTGTGCTTCTGCAGTATTGAGGCTTGAACTGGAGAGCGTGAGTGTGCCAGGCAGGTGCCCCACTGCGGGGCACAGATGGGAGGGAAACTGCATGAGAAATCACCTGCCTGGTGCTTGAACATGCTTGTCAGCCCAGCTTCTGGAAACAGAGGCCAGAGTAAAGGTGGTAACAAAGAATCTGTCTTCTTCTTCTCACAGCCTTTGAGGTGGGGTTCAATGTGGCAGAGGGGATAGTGGTTTACAGCCCTTAAATAACCTGGCGTGGTGGCACACACCCTCATCCTAGCAATGGTGAGGCTGAGGCAGGAGGATTTCAAGTTTGAAGCCAACCTAGGTTACAAGATAAGACCCCCATCTCCATAACCTACAAGAATTAGATGTAACCCTGACATTGACCCCTGGGAGGCAGGGCTCCATCTTCATGTTCAAAGTTTGCTGAATTGAAATAAAACAGATTAGAAAAGCCAATTTCAAGGAGAATTGTCCAGCAGACTGAGCATCTGGGTTGGCAGGCAGCTGCTCTCAAATTGGCACCACCCCTTCCCTACTAAAATGCTGACTGCCTGCTTTCGCCTGGGGCATTTACAAGGAAAGGCAGCCTAGCAGGACTGTGATCTGTGGCCGACTTTCAGCCACTGGAAAGAAACCTCAACAGCAGTGAGGTGAAAGAATGGGAGGGCACGGTCCTAGACTGCCTGGAGCTGGTCTCAAGGGTCAGCGGTCCCTTTTTCTGACTATCTGCATTCCGGTTTGCTGGGCAGCAGGGGTTCTGTGAACTTGAAGTGAATTAAAGACTGCTCTCAAGACTTAAAGAAAAATAACAGCCGGGCGATGGTGGCGCACGCCTTTAATCCCTGCACTCGGGAGGCAGAGGCAGGCGGATCTCTGTGAGTTCGAGGCCAGCTTGGTCTACAGAGCTAGTTCTAGGACAGGCTCCAAAACCACAGAAAAACCCTGTCTCGAAAAACCACAAAAAAAAAAAAAAAAGACAGTCAGCTGGGTGTGGTGAGTGCTCCTGGCACCTGGGAGGCAGGTCCAGCAGTCTGAACTATCTGGAATTTCACGCGGATTCAGTCAGTAAGCATATTCACTGGAGAGCTAGCGGGATGGCTCAGAGCATAAGAGAACGTGCTCTGTGAACTGGCGCAGCACTTAAGAGCACTGCTGTTCTCGCAGGTGACAGGGTCACACAGCTCCAGGGGACCTGATACCCTCTTCTGGCCTCAGTCACGAGCACATGTGCCGCACATGTGTACATGGAGGCGTTCATACACACACATACAGTAAAGCCAAGTCTCTTTAAAAAGTGAATTCCCAGAACCCACAGTTGATAGAATCAACCCAAAGAGCTGTCATGTGACCTCCACATAAGGACTATATCACACACGTCATGCATACAGTAATAAAGGTTGCTGGACGGTGGAGACGCACACCTTTAATCCCAGCAGAGGCTGGTGGATTTCTGCGAGTTCAAGGCCAGCCAGGTCTACAGAGTGAGTTCCAGGACAGCCTCCAAAGCTACACAGAGAAACCCTGTCTCAAAAAATCAATAATAAAAATTGCTGAGAGAACCTCACATGGTGGCACATACCTGTCAACCCAGCACTTGGGAGACACAGGATTGTTAAGAGTCTGAGGCCAGCTAGGGTCATATAACAAGATCTTAGCTCAAAAAAAAAAAAAAAAAAATAGTCACTGCCTCCTCTTCTAAAGGTCCTGAGTTCAATTCCCAGAAACCACATGGTGGCTCACAACCATCTGTAATGAGATCTGGCGCCCTCTTCTGGCCTGAAGGCATGCTTGCAGGCAGAATACTGTATACATAATAATAATAAAACATTTTAAAAAAGAAGAAAAAAAAATAGTTAATACCGAATTTTCCACCTCCTTACTATCCGAAAGTGGCTGGATCTTCTGAAGTCACTTACACTGAAGCCACAGTGACTATAGGCTTGCACCTCCATGCTCAGCTTCACCCAGTTCTTAGCAAAAATAGTACAATGCACAGGGCACGGTCCCTTCCATCCTATGATCTTATTCTCTGGAGCCTGGAACCCACGTGCTCTGTGCACCAGCAGAAAGTACAGGGGCCAGCCTCCAGTGGCCATGGCAACTGTGAGCCAGCTAGGAGTGTGCACCCCCTGCACCCCATACCTTTTACCCATCCGCCACATCATATCACCCAGGCTCGTGAGCCTGGCACCCAATCCACTGTAAGGCACTGTCTTCTTTGCACAGACCCAGAATTTCACACAGGTAACATGAAAAGAAAAAATGACAGGAAAAACACACAGGAAACACGTCTCATCCTAAACAACTCTGGTTAGTACTACTGTGGTGCTCACAGCAGATTCCAAGGCACGCCACCTCGGACAGGCTGCTTGGGCCTCTAACCTTAGCAGGCGCGGGGAGTGACCATCCCGAGGCTCTTCCCAGCCCGTGGCCCATGGCTGGGGAGACTGTGATGATTTGCTCTTGTGTCCCATCCAAGTTGGGTGGCTCATCCTGCGACTAGAGGCTCCACCTGTCCAGTCCATACAACCTGCTACCTCCAGGGCCACTTCATAACATAAAACGCCCCTTCCACTGCCTCTCACTAACATGACAAAGGCCCTAAGAAAACAAAACAAAAAAACTAAACCTAGGAGTCAAATAGCCATGATAGTGGTAAGTGATGTGTTCAGCTTAGGAAGCTCGTTACTAAAATTAATGAGGTCTGGCTTCAGATGCTTGTCTTATTAAATATAGGTCCTAAGGGGTCAGAGGCATTGAGTATAAATCGGATAGCCCTGCAGATAAATGAACACTTCTTTAGGTTTTGGCATCAGTTCTTCCTCATCTATCCTCAAAGCAGAAAGTTCGTTTGAGGGGTCGATGTGGAGGCAGCCACCCGGAGCAGGCGGCAGGCGGTCCAGGAGGCACAGTCACAGGTGCTGCAGGGCTTCCTGTCCTTGCTCTGTGTACCCGTCATCTCGGTGAGTGTGTGCCCACTGGCCAAAGGACTCATGGATGTGCGTGGGTCTCTGCGTGTTGGCCAGGCGCTTCTTGTCCCGGGAGAAAAAGCTAAACCTTTTGGAAGGGGAAAAGAAACACAGACGGAAGTGAGTGCTTGTCCTCTCCTGCTCCACCTGCCCGCTTCCTTCAGCCCTGGGACACACAGGAACAAGCACCCGAGGGAGCAGATCCATTCCCCGTGGGGGATGCAGTCAGCAGGATTCTAGAAAGCACTGGGTCTTCCAGGTGTCATGGGTCCCAGAACCTTAGCACTCAGACAGAACGAGCAGTTTGCAGTATGTGATGGGGGTGGGGGTGGGCAGGACCTTCCATCTGGCAGCTACTAGGGGGATCTTTCCTATATCGACTAGAAACAAACACCAAACCAAATCAGCACAACTCAGGTCCTCACAAAGGCCAGGTGTAAGGCTCTATGGCTCAGCTAAATGCTCAGCTCAGAAATTTGTTTTGTTTTGTTTCTTCTCATTTTTATAGATAGCGTCTTAGGTAGCTCAAGCTGGTTTCCAAACTCACGACGTAGCTGAGGGTGACCTTGAACTTCTGATCTTTCTGTCTCTCCTTCCCAAGTGCTGGGATTACAGGCGTGAGTCACCAAGCCCAGTTTACGGGATGCAGGAGATCAAACCCCGAGGCTTGCGCTTGCCAGGCAAGCACTCTATTTACTGAGCCCCAGCCTAGAGATCTCTTGAATGAATCGAATGATGCTTTGGAAGAAGCTGAAAGTTGTGAGGAAGATGATTCTAAGGCAAACCCATTCTTAATATTCATTCATTCATGCTTTCGTTCATTCATGTGTTTGTATGAGTATGTGAGCACTCAAGTGACATGGCTCCCATATGGACGGCAGAGGACAGACAGTGGGTGTCAGTTCTCTTCTTCACTGGGGCGGGGGGGGGGGTGTTCCCAGAGTTGAATTCAGGTTCTTACTTAACCTTGGGGGTAGGGGCCTCAGTTCACATCTGGCAGCCCTCATAGTCCATGCTAGGTAAGTGTTCTACCACTGAACCATAACTCCAGTGAGCGTGTGAGTAATTGTGTGTGTGTGTGGTGTGTGTGTGTGTGTAGGAATCAGTTCTCTCCATCCACTCCATCTTAGGTCCCAGGCAGTGAACCTAGGTCCGCAGGCTTAGCTGCATACATAGCTGCATACGTGTTTATTCCAGCCCACTGATACTCATCTTACAAGACTGCCAAATCACCCAGGCTGGCATTTAGTTTGTGATCCTCCTGACTTAACCCCAAGTGGTCATGCTTGGCAGGAAGCACTTTGGCCTGCTGAGCCATCCTGCAGGCCCCCTAAACTCTGTTAGAGACAGGGTCTCTTATTCACTTCTGCTACGGCCATCGCCTCTCTCCTGTCCCTCAGTGAGAGAGCGGGGACTGTAGAAGCATGCTCTGGGATCTGACTTAGCATGGGGCCTGGAGACTGGAACTCGGGTCCTCACATTCCTCACACTGGCCGACTCCCCAGTCCCGGGGTTTTGTTACAGTCACATCTAGTGAAGAGGATGTTCCGGGGAACTGGGGCTACACTCCCTTTCTAGCAGGAATAGAATGCTCTTTCATCCTCAGGCCAAGTTCACCTGGGAAATTCTCTAGGGCTTTAAAGGGCACGTGTGAGCCAGCAAGTCGAGGTGGGGGTTCACGCTGGACAGGGGAGGGCTCGTGTAGTTAGCTAGTCCACCACTGCAGCATCTCAGCCTGACTTAGGAAAGCCACCTGCAGATGCCAGCTCCCCCCTCCCCCCACTTTTCTGCACCAAACAGCTGCCAAGACAAAGCTGTTTAGAAAGCCTCAGGCATGGAGACAGAGGAAGCAGTTAGTGTCATTCAGATCCGGGGGCGTTGATTACTGACCCGTCACTTAAAGGACCTTCTTTACTGCATCATGGACAAGGTGGTTTTTAGAGCGAAAACAGAAGAGACAAGAAGAATTATCGGTGACATTCCCGGCTGCACTCGTGGAGGTCAAGAGCGACAGTGGCAATCACGCCCCATACCCACTCGAGATGCCAACAAGCAGGTGACGGCCATGCAGCTGAAGTGGCCAGGAGGCACAGGCTGGCAGCAGCCACCACAGCTATTCTAGAGGCACAGCAGAAAAGAAAAACAAAACAAAGCCCCAAACACAGACAGTGCCTACGAGGGACACGAGTCTTCGCACAGGCTGCAACGTGGGGTCGTCAAGGATCAGTCCAGCTGCCACCATGGGCATGACGGCTGTAAAGAGCCTTCCAGAAGCAGACAGACAGAGGAAATAAAGAGAGGGCAGTGTGACCAAGAAACCCACCCTGCAAGATCCACTGAGAGCTGCAATGACGGTCTGTGTTATAGGCCGAGACACGCCCCCCGCCCCCATGTTCCTCAGCATGACCCATGAAGACACAGGGCCCAGTGGAGGAGAGGGTCCTCTCTCAACAGGACCGACGACCTTGTATATGTGGAGAAGTAGACAAACTCGTGTACAGAGGCTGTCTGGGTGATGGTCCTATAGCCTAAGGAAGCCCAATGGTCACTAACCCCAAGAGGACAACTGAGAGTCTCTCTCAGGGAACCAATCTTGCTGAAAAGCACCTTTTCTTACTATTATTACTATTATTATTACTATTATTATTATTATTATTATGTATACTGGGGGAGAAATCCAGAGCCTGTGGATTCTGGCTAAACACTCCAACACTGAGATACTGAGCTATGTTGTTCTCGGCTCTTTCTTGTCCCCATAGGTGGGGACAACCCAGAGTCTCATGTATCTCAGGCTGGCTTCAGTCTCACTACATAGTTAAGAATGACGTTGAACTTGTGGTACCTGGGCTTCCACCTCAAAGGGCTAGGGTTATAGGTCCATGCACTGAAATTGAGCCCAAGGTTTCATGCACACTAGGCAAGTACTCTCCCAACTGAGCTACAGCCTCAGTCTTTTATAAAATTATTAATAATTATTATTTTAGCTTTTCAAGACAAGAGTTTCTCTGTGTAGCCCTGGAACTCACTCTCTAGACCAGGCTGGCCTGGAACTCACAGAGATCCGCCTGGCTTCAGAATGCTGGGATTAAAGGCGTGCGCCACCACAGCCCACAGAGATAGTCTTTATCCTAAACCAGCCTCAGACTTCCTGCACAGCTGAGGCTAGCTGGAACTCTTGATCCTCGCGCCTCACACCTCCCTTGGGGCTTGACTTACAGGCATAACCATGGCCACCACATTGGATCTCACGAGGTGCTGGTGATGGGACCCAGAATATTACACAAAAATTCAATGGAGTGTCTGTATCCCCGAGACACTCTCACGGTCTCCAGTGGAGTGTCTGAAGTCCCTGGCTGTGTTTCACAGAGGAGTGGTACCGCAGTCCACCAGAGCCCACCCATCTGACATTGAGAAGGGCGGGCACCCTTTTCCTGCTAGCTGTTGGGCACAAGAGGCTCTGGGGGCTCCAAACCTCCACACTACTTTGCACCCGCTGTTTTGAAGACACCCCCCACAGTCCCCGTCCCTCAAACACTGTCACTGCGAAGCAGGAAGCCTCTCGGACTCCATGTAGACACTGCTTGCAAAGGTGTCTGCCCACTTACAAACACAGGGGGCCACACCGCTGGCAAGAAGGCCTGAGTCATCTGGGGCATGCCATCCCTTTGATTGCTTCCGGGTCACACGGACAAGCCCAACCTCCAGAGGTGGCACAGAAATGAAGCTATTCTTTTTATTTTTTCTAAATGAGGTGTGATAGAGCACACTTTTTAAAAATATCTAATTTTATTTTATTTAATTTTTTATTTTTTGGATTTTCGAGACAGGGTTTCTCCGTAGCTTTTGGTTCCTGTCCTGGAACTAGCTCTTGTAGACCAGGCTGGCCTCGAACTCACAGAGATCCATCTGCCTCTGCCTCCCAAGTGCTGGGATTAAAGGCGTGTGCCACCACCACCCGGCAAAAATATCTAATTTTTAAAAAGTTTCTCTATGCATTGGTGTTTTGTGACAGGTCTATCCATGCACAGGTGTCAGACAGGTGTGAGCTGCCATGTCGGGGCTGGGAATTGAACCTGGGTCCTCTGGAAGAGCAGCCAGTGCTCTTAACCACTGAGCCGTCTCTCCAGCCCCATAATGGAATATTTTAAAGAGACACTTAAGTCTTTCACCCTTAAGATCATCAGACTCTCCAAACAAAGAGTGGGAATTGCCCAAGGAAGTGAGTACTTGTCTCCAGAGATTTACAAAGCTGACCTCACAGGGTGAAACTGAAGTAGGACGGTGAGCGATGGGGGAACCACACATTGGCAGGACTGTTCAGATGTGCCTATCTGTTACTCTCTACTTAAACCTGACGCTGATTTCAGGACCCTGAAGATGGATGTGTGTGTGTCTCTCTCTGTATGTGTCTGTATTCAATGTGTGGCCACATGGAATAAATCTCCTATTTTCTGCTTTTCACTATTAATTTGGCTTTTATAATTGATTGACTCCAGACAGGTGGCTGAAGCTGGCTTGCTAGGGCACAGCCTATGACCTCCAAGTTTGATAAGAGAGGGAGAGCCACTCCTATGACTGTTGGGGCCAAATTCTGCATCTTAATCATGGTAGCCGTGGTTTTAATGCCCCCACCCCTGATGGGTATTTTCGGAAGGCTCAAATCAAGTGAAGTGCTAACTCCTAGCATTTCATGGGCGGCTTTGAAGAAACTATTCCTGGCCGAGGAGGGGTGTGGGGGTAGAAGGCCAGGCATAGGACACACCATCGTCCTTACTGCTGCAGACAGAGGCGGAGCATACTCCAAGGCCAGGCTTTCCGGTCCCTGAGGCCAGCTGCTGCCTTCCTGTCCCCCTCCAGAGCCCCCCCCCCCCAAGCTGTGCCCAGTGGAAAGCCGTCCTGTGTATGTACGGGATGGACTCTGAAGTGGGGACCACACAAAAGGGACACTGGTGTTTAGGGTTTGCTGGGGACAAGGCTGAAGTCACTTGAGGCTCCCTTGTGACCTCCGTGGGCTATGCCAACCTGTCCTCTCAGGCCAGCAGCCTCCCAGTCACAGGCTATTCTTGGACCATCTTCAGCCTCACTGTTCTGACTGGCAGTGGGAGGCTCTGGTCGCCTTGTTGTGCCCAGCCCAGAAATGTCAATTATGACGTCTTGGACTCGGTGCGTTTGAGAGATAAGAGGACCTGGGCAGCCAGCCACTAGCTGGGGCATGAGGATGTGAGAGAGGAAGGAGAGGTGAGGGGGTGTTGTGATGGACAAAAGACCTAGTTCAGAAGCCCAGCTTTGAGTCTTCCCAATCGCACAGACTTGAATCAAGTCTGGCATCCCTGGGCCTCAGTTTGCTCATCTGAGAAATGGGGATAACTGTACCAGTTCCATGACTCTGACCATACTCAAGAGTGGACTCCCTTCAACTAAGCCTGGTGGTTCTTTATTAGCTGCTGGGTGACAGCGGTGGGCTGGGATCAGGGGCCCACAGCCACAGGTCAAACACAGTCCAAAGGAGAGGACGAAGGGGACAGAGGCCACAATATGGAGAAGAAGGGCTCTAGGAGAGCCTGCCAATGAAAGCCGTCACAGGCCACAGAGGACAAAAGCCACCAGTGTTGTCCCTGTGCTGGTCAAAAGCCCTTTGTGCCTGATAGCCGCTCCTGTCACCCCCCAGAAATCTGGCTGCAAAGGGCTGGCCACCTGTGCAGCAGGGACAGGAAGTACGGTCTCGCTCTGTCTTTGCTCCTGTCCCTCTGGAGCGGACAACCCTGTCAGGCTTAGAACACCAGGTGTTGCCAAGCAACCTGAGGCAGAGCTAAAGGGGAGAGGGATTTTGGGAATGGAGCCACCTCGGAGAGTGTGGCAGACGCTGTGGCCTGGTCATATGCTGAATTGGAATCATAATAGTCTAGATTTTACCCAGCCTGAAACTGGAAAAAACAACTTAAAAAAACTATTTGTGCTGGGCAGTGGTGGTGCGCTCCTTTAATCCCAGCACTCAGAAGGCAGAGATTTAAGTTCCAGGCCAGCCTGGTCTACAGAGTGAGTTCCAGGACAGCCAGGGCTCCACAGAGAAACCCTGTCTCGGGGGGAAAAATTATGTGTGTCTCTGCGTGTGAGTATATGATATGAGTGGTATGTCTATATGTGAGAAAACTGTTTTGGGGAGTCAGTTCTTTTGTCCATTTTATGTGGGTTCAGGGGGGACTGAACTTAGGTCCTCAGGCTTGTGTTTTAACTGCTAAACCACCTCACTGGCCTCTGCTTCATTTTTCTCTAACACCGAGGTCTATGGGCCTCAAGTTCGCCGTCATCCCCTTCACCTTCTGCGTGTTTCACGCGCTTACCCCTCACAACGGACCACACGCCACCTGCCTTTCCATTTTCTCTAGAGCTTCAGAGAGAAGAAAATGGTATCCTGTTTCTGTTGTTCTGGCTTCTTTTCAGGCATGGTCCCCAGTCTGTAGTCTCTAACTAGAGGCAGGCGTACCCCAGCCTCCCGAGTGCTGGAGTTACAGATGTGAGCTTCCCCACCTAGTGAGAGCAGACTCCAAGGCTGAGGGTGGCTGCCCCACTCAAGTCCAGGGTCTGCACTTGCAGGAGCACGGGGAGGGACAGAGCCCTCGCACAGGTAGCCAGGAGCCAGCCAAGTCCGATGCTGGAGCAGGCTGGAGAGCCTGCACTTAGGACCATTTCTTCTGTGCAGTTGTCTGACTGGAGCTTTGGTAGCAAATAGAAAGGTCAGAACAGTGCTGGGACTTCATGGGAGCCTTTGGATCCTGTTCCTTAGAAGTATTTATATCTCTTAGAAGAACTCCCAAACCCAGCAGGGGTGTAGGGCAGGCTGGCCAGCTCAGAGGGGCACTGCTGCCTACAGCAGCGCTGCAGGAAGCTACCTCGCTGTCGGAGGGCCCAGCGTGAGCGGGATGCCACCTGCCAAGGGAGTGGGTCCCACCACACAAACCAGCCCACATTCCGTCTGCTCAGAACTAGCCAACAATTCCCAGCATGGTCACTGGCGTTTAACGGGTAGGATGTATGGGTAGAGCCCACTTCCTCCCCCACCCCCACGCTGCCTGCTCTTTCAAAGCTTCTATTGGGTTTGGGGAGAAGACCAAGGGCTTTTCTGTAAGAATAGCCAAAACCAGGTCCGGAGAGCCCCTTTCGGTCTATCCAGACACTTGACGTGGGTCTGCCACAGGCTTGACTACAGTCCTCCGGGGCCGGGCTACCTCGGCTGGGCTCTGCCTCTTACTGGCCACAGTCAGTTGTCTCAAGGGTCCCCTAACAATGACAGTCTTCTATGTATTAGCACCAGAGTGAGGCCTCCACAAGGCTATTTGAGGGACAGGACTTGGCCTGCAGCAGGCTCTTGATGGGCACAAGATGGCACCTGACAAGGCCAAATAAAAACTCAGCCCTTCCTCTGACAGGCTTTGGGGCCTGCAAATCTTCTCAATTGGACACCATTACTCCATTAGCCTCTGTTCTTTTCCAAGGAAGATGTTGGCAGCTCCCACGAGAACCAAGGAGATCCGCAAGGCCGAGCACTCCTGGAGGGGCTGAGGTCTAGTGGATCACAGGAGCTACACGCGACCTTCTGCGTGTGTCTCATAGCAACCAGGGCCTAAGACTGAATGTATGTTGGACCAACATACACGTAATAGCGTAGAGGGTTTATCATCACAAAACCTGACAGGGGGTGGACCTAGGCTACTCTGGACTTTATTTTTAAGTATCATATGTAGCCTAGGTTGGTCTTGGCTACTTACTATGAAGCCAAGGATGACCTTGAACTTCCGATCTTCCTGTCGCCACCTCCTGAATGCTGGGATTCAAGCACAGGGTCCTACACTTAGCTCCTTAAAGTTCTGAAAATGCCCGAGTCTCTGATCCCCCAACTTACTCACTGTACCAAACCCAGAGCCACATCCCATGCACCTGGCACACCCAAGCAAGCTCCTGAGCACCAGTCACTGGTCCCCAAATCTCTGCCCAGTGACACCGAGAACTGGGGGTCCAGGTCAAGCAGGGAGATAATCAAAACCCGAAGGGCAAGCCCCAGTGGTGGGAGAAGCTGGTCTCAGCCACTGGGGTGAGGGGCAGTCCTGAGAGAAGGCACCCAGACCTGGAATCAGAGGTCGCAGGAACCAGGATGAGCCATGTGTGACACGGCCCACGTGGGAGGCACAAGACTTACAGTCGCTTGATCCCGGACTCCGGCTGGGGGGATGTTCTTGGGTGTATGATGGGCGGAGGCTGGGGTATTCGATTCTCCTCTTCTATTTCTTCGCTGAAGGCATGAAATAGAGGAGTCAACACAATCCTGTGAGAACTGGAACCCTCCCAAAGTGGGTAGAATGGTTTGCTTTGGTGCAAAATTTCTCAGTAGGGAGTAAGGTAACCGGGAAGATGACAACTGTGTTCTTTGCTGGCACACTCAGCCAGAGGTTTGAGTCTGGAGGGTAAGTCAGTAGTTCCTTTGGCCCCGGGGAGGTGTTTAAGAACAAGTCTTCCCTTCCTCCCTCTCTCTCTTCCCCCTCCTTCTGATGTACATGCGTGTGTGTGTGTGTGTGTGTGTGTGTGTGTGTGTGCGCGCGCGCGCAAATGTCTGGGGACCTAAGTTCTGCTCCTCGTGCTTGCAATGTTAACTCTTCACTGATCAAGCCATCTATCCCTCAGCCCTCTGACAGACATCTGGTCACACACTTGGTAAGACGTGCAATGAATGGCCTGTTGGGGGCTGTGCGACCTTTATGCCACCTATAGGAGTGCTTGTCTCTCTGCTGCACAAGTACCAACACGCCTGGCCTGGGTCTGGGGTGTGGCCGCTGAGGTCGTGGTAATTGCCCTCACCTCTTATAGTAGGCCAGCTCCTCTTGCAGCAGGAACACCTTAGACTTAAGCTCATTCCTCTCATGCAGCACGTCCCGCAGCTCCTGTAGCGTGAACCGAGGGCGGTTGGGGTCCTTGAGGTCCAGGGCAGCCTTCTCTGAGTCTGAAATGCATTCCTCTCCATCTGCCTGCAGCTGTATCTGAAGAAGGCAGAGATGCGTTGTCAAGGCACTCCTGACGGTCCCCGCTCCACACCCTTCATATGCTAGAATTTTCTACCCCCCTCTGGTAGGCGGCCTGCTCAGGTCACTATTTTCGGTCTCTGGGCAGCAGCCTCCGCTTATCTTCCATAACGTTTCCCTTTGGAGGTGGGAGCCAGCCACCACCTGTTCAGCAAGCTCCTTCATGAGCTAGCCCTGCATCCCAGACTCCCACTCCACTCAGGATGCTATTACAAACGGGCAGAGGCATGCGTGCCTCCCACCGTGTCTCTGACGGCCGCCCTCCACCATCTGTTGCCTTCTCCTCCAGGTTTCCCTCCCATTTTCTTACTTAGACCTCTGCTGATCTGGTCAAGGTGTGTTGAAGAACAGCCGAGACTCGTTCTTGCTACTGTTTTCAATTTTTTTTTTTTTTTCGAGACAGGGTTTCTCTGTGGTTTTGGAGCCTGTCCTGGAACTAGCTCTTGTAGACCAGGCTGGTCTTGAACTCACAGAGATCCGCCTGCCTTTGCCTCCCGAGTGCTGGGATTAAAGGCGTGCGCCACCACCGCCCGGCTACCGTTTTCATTTAACGAGAAGTTGAGTCACTTCTGGGACAGACCCTCTGGTCAAACCCCTTCTTCCCCAGGGGCTCCTGCCACCTTGCTGGAGCCTGGCAAGGGGATACAGCTGTCTGCAATGTAAGTCACACAGACAGAACCCAGGATCGTCCTGCAGCAGCTGCCCTGCCTCAGATCACAACTTACCATGGCACCTCGTGCCAGAGTCTGGTAGCCTTTCAAAGACATTGGTAAGACACATGAAATACAGAATTTACCATTTTAAAGTATGTTAGCGGGGTGTGGTGGTACATGGCTCTAGTCTTCCATGGTCTCTGCATCAGCTCCTGCCTCCAGGTTCCTGCCCTGACATTCTTCAATGATAAATGATGATATGGAAGTATAAGCAAAATAACACCCCCACATGCCAACTTGATTTGGTCATGGTGTTTATCACAGCAACAGTCACCTTAAGAGGCTGGCCCATTACTTTCTTTTTAGAGACAGGTTCTCACTCTGTAGCCCAGGCTGGCTGGAACCCACATCCATCTTCCGGCCTCAGGCTCTAGAAGGCTGGGATGACAGGTGTGTGACACTGGACACCCCTTTCTCCCCTAATATTTGCAATATTCGGACCTTGCACACGCCAACAAGTCATACCACCAACCACTCTTCCCCAAGCCAGCAAGCCAGATCCCCAGTGGTCCATTTCTTCAAGGCCATCACCAAAACCAGGATGCTCCAGCATGAGAAGGCATGATGTCTGCAACCTAGCAGGCCACTCAGCATCTGCAGATGGCCTTCCCAGCTACGCTACCCACAGCCTGTTACAGCCTGGGTCACAGCTTCATTCCTTCCCACAGCTGTGTAATATTCCACTGTGAGACAAACCTCTAGCATTATCCATCACCACTGCGGTCTCACCATCAGGACTGGCCACCTCCACAGACTGTTCCTCCATTTTTAAAGGGCATCCAGCATTTTACTAAACACTAAAATCACTGAACTCAGAACCGGAACAGACTGGAACTGAACAGCAGGATTGAGAGATAGACACACACAAATATGCCAATAAGTGAGGATCAAGGGAGCGGTTTCCAGAGAGGTGCTCCCTCTGCGTGGGGTGTTGATGCATGTGTAGGAGTTTTCCACCAACTCCCAGCATCAGAGGCAAAGACATCAGAGGTTGCAATAGTCCCCAGGGCCACACAGTGTCCCCTGCTGGGCCATAAAATCTACTGAACCAGCTGTCAACTGTTTTAAAATCTGGAGACTCAAATTCCAAATCCTCCTGCCTCTGCCTCCCTAGTGTTAGGTTTACATCATGCCCCAGAGAATCTAATGATATTTCTATTTTGTTTCTGTTTTGTTTTTGTTTTTCAAGATGGTTTCTTGCATAGCCCTGACTGTCCTGGAACTTGCTTTGTAGAGCAGGCTGCCCTGGAACTCATAGAGATCAACCTGCCTCTGCCAACTGAATAATAGGTTTAAAGGTGTGCACACCCCGCCCCCGCAAACCCACTTTGACACACAGGGTCCCCCTGCTCCCCAGCAGTGGCCGTGTTCAGTCAAGACACAGAAAGCTAGGGCTGGAGAGATGGCTCAGAGGTTAAGAGCACTGGTTGTTCTCCTAGAGGTCCTGGGTCCGATTCCCAGCACCCAACATGGTGGCTCACAACTGTCTATAACTGTAGTCCCATGGGATCGGACACCCTCTTCTGGTGTGCATAGATACATGCAGACAAAACAGCCACACATATTAGCCAAATAAATAAGTAAACATCTTTTTTTTTAAAATATTTATTTATTTATTATGTATACAATATTCTGTCTGTGTGTATTTGCAGGCCAGAAGAGGGCAGCAGACTTCGTTTCAGATGGTTGTGAGCCACTATGTGGTTGCCGGGAATTGAACTCAGGACCTTTGGAAGAGCAGACAATGCTCTTAACCACTGAGCCCTCTCTCCAGCCCCATAAGTAAACATCTTAAGGGAAAAAATCATAGCGGTTCCTCTGGCCTTAGCAGGGTCAGCTCTTTTGAGGTAGTGAGCATTAATTCCCCTAGAGCGTAGGTGAGTCTTAGCCAGGTGTGTGGCAGTTTTGCTTCTGAGTGTGGGGAGAACTGGGGCTCTGTCAGCCATGACTCCACCTTGTGGGCAGCGCTAGCAAGGCCCGTCCCAGCTGGAAAGTTTGAAGCAATCCCAATACAGTCATCAAAGCCAATCAGAGGCCCTTCTAGGGTCATTCCACAAGGGACTGTTGGGTGGCTCAGGTTATCTCAGATAAACTGCTCCCTCTCCCTGGGGGCTCTCTGGGCACAGGTGCCAGGAGATGCCTGGAGGCTCCAGGTGCAGCATCACAGGTCTGGGCCTGTAGCCTGAGGCCTGGCCTCCTGGGAAGGCTCCCCTCTGCCTCCGGAGTGCTGGGATTAAAGGCGTGCCACCACCGCCCGGCTTCCAGTAATTCTTATACCGGGGTGGTGGAGGAGTACCTGCTTTCTTATCTGAAGACCTGCTTCCTAGAAACTGTGTGCCACTCACGGTGGTTTGTTTTGCTGCCAGAGCTGGAGCCCAGGTCCTGGGACAGTTCTCTTCCCTGGATGCTGAAAACGGCCGAATGCGATGGTTCATGAATTATACCTCTCAGAGCCTTATGTAAAAGACCACTTCAGTGTGAAAGGTAGGTGTGGAGTTTAGGGCCAGCCTGGGCTACGTTGTGAGACCTACCTCAATAACACCACGTAAGAACTCAGTATACAGCTCAGTAGGGAGAGCGACTGCCCGACATTCACCAGGCCCCTGGGTCCAACACCCCTGGCTCTGCATAAACACACTAGAATCCTGGCCCTGGAGAGGCAGAGGCAAGAGGATCATGGTTTCTGGGTTATCCTTGGATACTGGCCAGCTTAGGCCACATGAAACCTTGTCCCAAAACAAAAACAGAAAACACGAAAAGATCAGAGAAAGAAAGGAGCAGGCTGGGTAAACTAGAGAGAAAACCAGGCTCCTCGGCTAGGCATGGTGGTGTCCACCTTTGGTCCTATCCCTCGGGAGGCAGAGGCAGGAGGATCTTTGTGAGTTCGAGGCCAGTCTGATCCACAGAGTGAGTTCCAGAATAGCCCAGACTATGTGGAGAAACCCAGTCTCACAAAACCATAAAACAAGAGGTCCCCTCTCCAGCTGCAAGTTCCTCTATAGCTCCCACCTCCCTCCAGCCCTGCCCTAGGACTGAACTGTACCCAGCCACAGGCCACATTCCCCAACCTGCTTCCTGGCTGTTCCCTGCCTGGAACAGCTTGCTCCACATTCTACTGGAAACCTCCCCACCCAACCTGTCCCTATCTCCCTCCTCCCGGTGCAGGGGCAACACTCGGCATAAGTGCTTCAGAGAACTTTCTGGATGTGTGAGGGCCAGCCAGCCATGCCTCTCCACGCCACTGCCCCCTCTCCCAACAGCCACATTTCTCTACCTGGGCTTCATAAGACCCTGAACCACAGGGTCAGGGCTGTCCCCTCATCTGCCAGAAGCCCCGGGTCTCATGTAACCCTGCTGCCCTCCTGTTTTATTGTGACGCACTCTGGACGTCACACAACCCGGAAGCCATGCAGGCAGCATGATCCAGATGTGGGCAGCCTTGATTTTCTCCCTCACTTCTTTCTACACTTTTATTCGTATGCACACACAGAGCCAGACACTGACATCAAGTGGCCTCATCAATCGCGCTCTATTTAATCTGTTTAGCTCAACAACTGTGCTAGACTGGCTGGCTCTGGATGCCGGGAGCCACAATGCCAGGGCTATAGGCATAAGCTCCACCTGGCTTTTTGTATATTGGTGCTGGGCTCCAAATGCAGGCCTCCAAACTCAGGTCTGCACTTTATCGACAGCCATCTCCCCGCCCTTCTCCCTGCCTCTTCTCTACTCCTCTGCTGCCAGAATGGAAGGTAAAACCAGCTTGTGCAGCCAGTTGGTGCAAAATGTCCCTGTGCTTAAGTGAGAGACCTGGATCAGAGCTGGGAATCACATGGTCCTTAGGGTGGTGCCCTCGGGTACCCAGGCTTAGAGCAGCCCTGCCTGGTCAGAGGGAAAGAGGCCTGAGTTCCTGGAGCAAGACTGCGGCATGGGTACCCCCCACTGTGGCCTAGTGGCTGTCTTGGGCATGCATGGGTACCCCCCGTTGTGGCCTAGTGGCTGTCTTGGGCATGCATGGGTATCCCCTGTTGTGGCCTAGTGGCTGTCTTGGGCATGCATCTCCTGCTGTGGATCTGGCCCAGCCTTTTACTTCAGACCTGTATTACTGCAAAGTCATCGGTGCCTGCCATAGGTCACTTCCCCTTCATACTGTCCTCCATAAAATCCCAGGGCTCATCCCACCTACAGAGGCCATGTCAAGGGACCCCTCACGCATTTCTGCTGCAGCTCAGAGACTGCATGGCAGCCACAGCTGCCTTGCACTCCAATGGGCAGTTGCAACCCCAGCCTACACACCCACACCTCTATATTGTCCCCTCAGTCTCCAGGGTTCCACTTGGTACCCACCTGGTTTGTGAACCCTTCTACAGCAGCCAGGGACTCAGAAGGGCACAGTACCTATCTGTAGGCCTCTCCTCACAGGGCTGACTCAGCGAGGAGCCAGTCTGAAGACTTTTGCTGGGACTCTTGGGGAAGAGGCTGGCTGAGCAGGTTGCTATTAGGGACCATGTCGTAACCAGAGTCCACCCAAGAAAGGATGCAACTTAAGAGGCAACAAAACCAAAAAGGCCTGAGTCAGAATTCCTGCTACCTTTCGTTCTCTGAGCCCCTGGAACCAGCTGTACCTGAAGCTGTCTGACCTTCAAGCTCCAGTCACAGACAACACGTGTGCCTTTCTCTCTCTCCTTCAACACGTAACTTGACTTCATGACACTATACGCCCAAATCAGGTCCTAACCCTGTCCCTCTAAAGATGACTTCTTCCTTATTCTCTCCCCAGATTCTAGTCCTTCAGAAGCAGCTGGTCCAGACGCATCAGCTGTCGGCTAGGCACAGACCTCAGGCTGGAACTCAGCTGCCTGTAAGTTCACCTCCTCTGCAGGGTGACTAACGAGGCCATGGGGGACTCGGTCTCACTTGCTACCTATGGATGTGCCCGCAGCTCTTCCCTGACCCTTTCCTCCCTCCGCCAGCCACAGGAAAGTTGCACCTTGGAAGCTCTGCCAGCTGCTGGCATTGCAGGCCTATCTGGGGGACTCTGAGCCCCGCCTGGGGTTATCTGTGTGACACCCACTGCAACCGCCATCTCCCTGCCCTGGGCCTCCTGACGGCTCCATCCACGGACAGGGAGGCCTCCAGCGCTCACCGCATGCCTCTGCCTTCTTGTTTGCATCTTCAGGGCATGGAAAACTCACAACCCACGTGGCCATTAGCCACTCTGAGGAAGGACTTAGTGTCACCCCAAGGTCAGTTATGAGAGGGCCTGGGTACTTCTTAGCAGCCCCAGCAGGTGAGTGTCCTCGGCCTTGCCACGGGGCCTCCTGTTCACCTTCCCCCTTCCCTGTCACAGGCTGCCTCAGGAATCACCTCTCAAGCGTAGGTTTTGTTGGAAGCCTTGATCACAAGCTCTTCCTGAGAGATAAGTGAGGACAATGTCTCACTGCTGGGATAGTCTCTCCTCTCCAGGGTGGATATACTGGGGCTCAGTCCTTCCCTTCCCTTCTTTTCTCTTCTTTCCGTAACAGGGTTTCTCCTACGTAGTCCTGCCTGTCCTGGAACTCACTCTGTGACCAGGCTGGCCTCGAACTCACAGATATCTGCCTGCCTCTGCCTCTCGAGTGCTAGGATTAAAGGTGTGTGCCACCATTTCCCCGGCTAGTCCTTCCCTTCTATATGAGGTCATAAACTCCTGGGACTTCCCCCCCCCCCAACCTCCCCCACCTGTCAATCTCTCAGGTGCACACAAACTCCTCTCCCTGAGGAGCCTGCAGGCCCGGCCCCAACTTCCACCCGGACCGCTGGCCAGCCCCTCACTCCCCTTCACCGCACACCAGCCACCTTCACCATGAGGCCTCCTTGTCCCTGAGGCTCCTCCCGCCACAGGGCCTTTGCACAGGTCATTCTTCCCGCCTGGAACTCATTCCCCCTCCTCCTCTATCCTTACTCCTGTCAATCCCCTCCTGGAAAAGCCCCCTGAGCCCATCCCAGACAAACCTTCAGGGCAGAAGGAAGAAAATGACCTCCGCGTACTGTGGCACATGAGCACGCGTGCACGCACACACACACAATAAATAAATGTTAAAATCATCTGTATGTAATTCACATACCACAATATCCACCCTTCAAAGAATAAAGTTCAGGGAGTTTCAGCATATTCTCAGGTGTGCAACCACCACCACTTTCTAATTCCGGAACTTTTCCCTCCTCCCCAAAGAAGCCCTATGCCCATTAGCCATTCCCCACTGTCCTAGTCCCTACGCCGCCCTTCTGCACTCTGGCCTGGATCTGCCCAATCTGGAATCTTAGAGACACAGGAGATACACAGCATGTGGCCTTCCGAGTCTGGCCTATCCTCACTCATCAAGACCACTTCAAGGTTCACCTATGGGGTCGGGAGTGCTCGTCTCGTGACTCAGGCTTTTTCAGGGCTGAGTCATATTCCGTGGTGTGGACTATGTATGTATGGCCACATTTCCGTTCTCACTTCCTGTCAGACCCGATGAGTAATGCTACTGTGAGCATCTGGGTCATTTTCTTCCTGGGTTTTATTTTTACCTTTGAGACAGGGTCTCACACAGCTCAGGTTAGTAAAGAATTTGATGCACAGTCTAAGACCATCTTAAATTTAAACAACTTCTTTCTTTCTTTCTTTCTTTTTTTTTTTTTTTTTGGTTTTTCGAAACAGGGTTTCTCTGTAGCTTTGGAGCCTGTCCTGGAACTAGCTCTTGTAGATCAGGCTGGCCTCGAACTCACAGAGATCCGCCTGCCTCTGCCTCCTGAGCGCTAGGATTCCAGGTATGAGCCACTGAGTCAGCTTGCACGTTTGTTTTTTAAATGTGTATACGGGTGTTTGAATGTGCGCATGTGTACACATGGATGCAGGTTTTCACGGAGGACAGAGAGAGCAACAGATGCCCCGGAAAAGTCAGAAGCAGTTGTGAGCCTCCAAACGAGGGGGCTTAGGAGCTGAACCAGGGTCCTTTGAAAAAGCAGCAAGTGCTCTTAACTGCTGAGCCATCTCTCCAGGCTCCTGTACAGGTTTTTACATGGACACGTGTTCAGTTCTCTTGGGTATCCATCTAGAACTTCCAGTCCCTATAAACGCATGCTCCATGGGACAATCCTTATCCCATCCTCTGTGCCTGCTACAGTCAATAGTCACTCGAATGGATGAATGGATGAATGAATGAATGAGTGAATGAGTGATGAATGAAGCTCAGCCATCATCACTGAACTGCATGCCCTCTGGGATGCTGGAGACCAGGGATTCAGGTCCAGCTCTGCCCATGCCCAGTTGGTGTCCTCAGGCCAGGATCTCTCTCTCTCTCCCTCTTTCTCTCTTGGTGCCTCCTGCCTTCTTAGATACAATGGGGAAAACAAGGCAGTTCTTTCTACGTGGGGCCAGCCCACAACTCAGGTTCCCACACACCTCATACCAGCTTGCTGCTCACCTCGGCCTCCTCCTCCCCGTTCTGGCTGTGCTCGCCCTGCAGCCTCTCCCTCAGCTTCCCGAGTTCTGCCCGAAGGCTGCCCATCTCCTGCTCCTTGGTCTGCAGATCTGCCTCAAGCTCCACCTTCTGCTCAATCAAGGCCTTCCCCTGGGCCTCCACCACCGTGACCCGGTGCCGAAGGTCATGGTTGATCTTCATTAGCCTCGTCTGCTGCTGCTGCAGCTGTGGAGAGAAAGAGGCATTTAGTGAGGCTGTCACGGACAGCAGGAAACCACGGACGGCAGGAAACCACGGACGACTGTAAACCACAGACCACAGTAAACCATGGAGGACAGGAAAACATGGACGACAGTAACCCACAGACGACAGGAAACCACGGACAACAGGAAACCACGGACGACAGGAACCCACAGATGACAGGAACCCACAGACGACAGGAACCCACGGACGACAGTAACCCACGGACGACAGTAACCCACAGACGACAGGAAACCATAGACAACAGGAAACCACGGACGGCAGTAACCCAGTCTGTGTACAGCACAAGGGAAACCCTCTTTGAGTAGAGCATGTACATCATAAACACCTTTCTAACTTGTTTCTATTTTTATGACTGTTGACAAGGAGTGATACACATGTGGGCTTCTTTTTCAGATCTATTTTTTATACGGCTATGTGTTTTGCCTGTGTGTATATCTGTGCGCCACACACGTGTCTAGTGCCTATGAAGGCCAGAAGGTGTCAGATCTCCTGAGACCACAGTTATAGTCACTACCTGTCATGTGGGTGCTGAGAGCTGAGCTCCATTCCTCTGGAAGAGCAGCGGATGTTCTTACTGTTTAGCCATCTCTCCAGCCCCGCCCCCATGCCGCCATGAAGTAGGAAAGTGGGCTCAGATTGGCGTTGGTCACTTACAGCCTCAACGTCCTCATTCTTCAGGCCAAGCTCCCTGTCTTTGGCTCGGATCTCGTCCCTCTGCTTGTCCACCACTTCCTTCAGCCTCTTCATCACCTGCCGCTCCCGCTCTGACATGCCTGGGTGAAAGCGAGACTGGGAGGTGAGCCACCTCCCCTCGGCTTAAGCCCCCCATAGTGTCGCACTCCAAGTGGGCCAGGGCTCTCCCCAAAGTCTCTCGTGTACCCCGCACACACCCTGGGGCTGCTCCTGCCTTCAGTCTTGCCGAGCACATTCCTACCTCACCGCCTCTACCTCTCTCTCCCCTCTTTCTTCTGACCTTGAGATCACTGCACACAAGACTCCTCTCGTTGGTCCCCTCTGCGTGATGGCTTTCCCCCCACCCAGAAACACTCCCACCCACCGCCTCACTTTCACAACACATCCCCACACGTCATGACAGACATGACCCTGCACCGTGATCTAGAGGTTAGCCTCCAAAGTTCACACTAACCCTGTAAGCCACGCTTGGCTGTGTGGCTCTGGCCTCTCTTCTGCCTCTGTTTCCAAATTCATAAAATGGGACGGGGGCAGGTTGGAGAATGGGTGGAGCCAACACACACACAATACCATTAGGACACAGCATTTGGTGGGTGGCCAGGACAGGGGCTTCCCGCCATGACCCCAGCAGACCACGGCTAAGGCAGGCGAGTACTAAGCTGCAGCCCTCCCACATATAAGTTGCCTTTTAGGCATTTGGTGAAGCAGGGTGTGGTGGTACAAGCCATTAGTCTAAGCACTCTGGAGACAGAGGCAGGTAGATCTCTGTGAGTTCAAAGCCAGTCTGGTCTACAGAGCAAGTTCCAGGACAGCCAAGGCTAGTACACAGAAAAACTCTGTCTTGAAGAAACAACAAGAAGGGGGGGCGGGCTAGATGGAGAGCTGGCTCAGTGGTTCTCAGCACTTGCGGCTCTCGCAGAGGACCCAGGTTCAGCTCCCTGCACCCACATGGCGGCTCACAATCCTTACTCCAGTTCTAGGGATCCAGTGATCTCTACTGACCGCCACAGCACCAGGCACACACAGGGTGCACAGACATACATGCAGGCAGACACACATATAAAATAAAAGAAGCAACAAAAATGACTGAGTGGTCAGCTTTGCTTTGCTCCTGGTGACAAAGTCACTCTCCCAGAGCCCGGGGCCACTGGCAGATCCATGAGTCCTCTGCACCTCTTCTATCCTACGCTGGACACTCAATTCACAGCCCTGTGTGCGAACAGCTCTCGGACTGGACAGATTCCCAAAGAGAGCCAGAGAGGGTTTCTGTTTTGTTTTGCTTTCATTTTTCCGAAAGAGAGTTTCTCTGTATAGCCCGGCTGTCCTGCCAATCCATCTATAGACCAGGCTGGCTTTGAACCTCTGCCTCCCGGGTGCTGGGATTAAACATGAGGACCACCATCTGCTGGCTACCACAGGGGATTTCATGTGCATTGGTGTTTTCCCTGCATGTATGTCTGTGTGAGAGTATCAGATCTTGGAGTTACAGACAGTTATGAGCTGCCATGTGGGTGCTAGGAATTGAACCTGGGTCCTTCTAGAAGTGCTCCTAACCGCTGAGTCACCTCTCCAGCCCCCAGAGGGGATTTTTTAACCTGTAAGGCGCCTGTGGAGCGATAGGACTCAGAAATCCAGAGGCACACGTAGGGATAGGCCCTCTGAGCGCCCCTCCTCCTGCTGGCCTGCACAGAAACCTGACCCCTGCATGCACCTGAGAGCTGCAGGAAATTATTGTAAGGTGTGTTTATGCCCTGGAGCATTTGTTTAACTGTGTAAAGATGCATTGCTTTTGTTTATGCTGGATTTCTTTAACTCTGTGAAGTTGTGATTTTTTTTTTTTTTTTTTTTTTTTTTTGCCTAACTAAAATACCTGATGGTCTAAAAAAGCTGACCGGCCAATAGCGAGGCAGGAGACAGGCTAGACGGGGCTGGCGGGCTGGGAGAATAAATAGAAGAAGCAAGACCAGATGAAGGCGAGGAGAGAAGGAGAGGAGGACGTCAGGGGTCAGCTACACAGCCGGCCACAGAGTCAGAGTGAAAGTAAGGTATACGGAAGTAAGAGAAGGAGAAATTTCAGAGGCAAAAATGATTTAAAGCTAAGGAAAACTGGCTAGAAACAAGTCAAGGTAAGGCTGGGCCTTTATAAGTAATAATAAATCCATGTGTGATTTATTTGGGAGCTGGGTAGTAGAACCCCCGCCCCCAAAAGGTAAAAGAGTAAAAAGTAAAAAACAAGATTTTGGTGTTCCAACATGGGGCCAGAGTAAGAGAATTCACCTGAGTCCTCAGATGGCCCTTGGCCATGGCCCTGTTCCACTGTCACTCTTGACTGGGACTCAAGGTCACCAGCACCTGCCCTCTTTATCCCAGGACACCACCTGCCCCAGGCCTGTTCCTCTAGTAGGTGGGGAACACTTGGTCCCTGCTGTGTTCCCATGGTTTCCCCACAAAATAAAAATAACCCTGAAGGCAGCCTGGCATCTGCCTGCCTCTTTGCTAGGGCGGGGGCTGCGGGCTTGGAGAACACAGCCAGCTCCCCAGCTGGTCCTGTGGAAGCCAGGCACACTCGATGCTCAGGGTATCGTCTGTGTATACCTTCCGTTGGTCCACACTGGTCAGCAGGGACTGTGATAGCTGCAAGGGCAGAGCTACACTCCCAGAGGAAAGGGGCCACAGGGAAAGCAGCTCAGAGCTGCTGAGACCTCTGAGACTCCACTAGAGTGGGCAGCGGGGTTCCCACATCACCCCCAGAGGTCTCTGGGTGCATGGCAGGACTATCGTAGGCAAAAACCAAGATTATTTTTCCTAAATAAAATGATTACACGAACACCTGAAAGGTGTTCATAGGAGCCAAAAAGTAGTCACAACCTGAAAGTCCCACCTGTGGAGGATTGACAGACAGACATGGTGTCGAGGGGATGGCACAGTAAGCAGCTGTGGAAAGAGACAGAAGCCACTGACATCACACAAAGGCAGACAGACTTATGAGAGAGGGACCACCACTGCTTTCTCCCTTTCAAACTGGGCAACAAAGGCATAGGACGGTCTGTGAGTCCGTCAAACGACATGGTATGTTAGCGCTGCGGCCAGCAGTTGGAGCTGTGTGGTCTGGCTCCAGAGACCATCTCCTCACAGTGACGCTCCGATTTCGAAGCCACCCAACACATTACCACAAAGCACACCCAGGAGAAGAGAATTCCAGACCTGGGTTCACTGTGTATTTTGTTTTTTTTCTTCAGTCCTTATCAGTACCCTATTTCATTTGTTTTTAATTTTGTTATATTTGTGTGTGTGTGTGTGTGTGTGTGTGTGTGTGTGTGAGTCTCCATGTGTGTGTCTTCGTGTGTGTGTGCACACGTGTGTCACACTTACTTGTGGGGAGGCCAGAGGACAATGTGCAAGAGTCCACTCTCTCCCTTCACCACGTGGAACCTGGGAGTTAAACCCATGCTGTCAGGCTTAGCCAAAAGCTCTGTGACCACTGAGCCATCTCGCTGGCCCTTATCTGTTCTTTGTAAAAAAAAGTTTTTATTACTTTACTTTTTTCAAGACAAGATTTCTCTGTGCAGCTCTGGCTGTCCTGAAACTCACTGTGTAGACCAGGCTGGCCTCAAACTCAGAGAGACCCTCCTGTTTCTGCCTCCAGAGGGCTCAGATTACAGACGTGGCCCACCACACCCAGTGTATGCAGTGCTTGGGATCCAAGCCGGCACCTCGCCCATGCCAGGCACAGCCCAGCCCCAAACTTGATCCTCTCAAAGTTGTAACCCCAAATTCAAAGAGCCCCCATCCCAATCTACTCCTGTACATCAGACCAGAGGGTGGGGCTTCATGTGGGCAGCCAGGGGTTTGCTCAGGATGAAAAGCCAGGCTGCAGCCAGGTGTAATAGTGCACTTCTTTAATCCCAGAACTCAGAAGGCAAAGTTTTATGAGTTGGAGGCTAGCCTGGTCTACATAGCAAGTGCCAGGAAAGCCAGGGTTACACAGAGAGACCCTGTCTCAAAAACAAAACAAGTTGGGCAGTGGTGTACATCTTTAATCACAGCACTCTGGGACAATGCAGGTGGATCTCTGAGTTTGAGGCCAGCCTGGTCTACAAGAGCTAGTTCCAGGACAGTCAGGGCTACACAGAGAAACCCTGTCTCAAAAACAAAAACAAAACAAACAAACAAAAAACCAAAACAAACTAATACAAAAGAAAGAAACCTGAGATTTGATTCTGCTGCGTCAGCTACAGGAGGCAGGATCCCTTGACAAGACTGCAGGCCAGGCAGAGCAGATGGAGCTCACAAGGCCCCAGATCAAACTCCACTGTCTAGTCTTGTTTGTCCAGCCCCCAGGCAGAGCAGATGGAGCTCACAAGGCCCCAGATCAAACTCCACTGTCTAGTCTTGTTTGCCCAGCCCCAGAGAAGTTTGTGGGACAGATAGCAACTGTGATGGCCTCCAGTGCCAATCAAACCAGAACTGCTGTCCCCACTGCCCTGCTAGTCACCTGTTCTGTGACCACAGCCTGAAATCTCTTCAAACACAGAGAACAATCCCAGCCTTGGTCTCCTCTGACCTTATTTCCAGCCCCCTCAGCCTTGACCATCTTCTCGTACCCTGGCCTTCTACGTTTCCCGCAAATACTCATGCCAGGGCCTTGGCATGTACCACTTGTTCACGGCACTAACGTGACGCAGTGTGCCACTTCATAAGGGCTGAACTGTGACCACCCGACGACTAGACCCCAAGCTGCTACTCCATGCCCCTGTCTCAGCTCTCACACAGTGTCAGCTGCCATAAATCAAAATTAGACGTCTATTTATTGTTCATGTATTTACTGCCGATGCCCTCTGTGCTAAAACACAGTTCCAACTTCCAAGTGGCCCAGGGTCTGACTTGTCCAGTGTGTCCCAGGGCCCAGAGGAACCATGTAGGAGGGCAGAAAACTGTGATAGCTAATTGAGATCACATCAACATCTGGACCTAAGTCGTTCCTCTCTGAGACAGTCAAGATGCAAATTCACCAGCCCACTGGTGCCAAAGGCTGCGGTCTCTGAGCGGTCATGGGGAATCACTGGGATGGGGGGGGCTCACCTTCCTGCTTCTGGAACTCCTCCTCAGAGAAGCCCACGTCCTTGTGGTTGAGGTTGGTCAACAGTTGCTTATTCTCCTCTTGCAGCTGGGCAATCTGAGACAGGAGGTCCTGCGCCTCGCCCCGCCACACATCCTCCACCAGCTCCAGCTCCTGTTGGGGCGGGGCGACAGCAAGGGTCACAGAAGGATCGGAGGCACCCAGGGTCTCACCTGCCCATCAGAGAACTGTTCTGTTTATGGTACTTGGAGTCACCCCATTCCCCCAAGAGAGGCGGGTCTCCGGCAGATGGCACACAGAGCCAGACAGGGCCTCTTCTGTTGATGTGCATGCTGAAGTCAGGAGGGCTCAGTCCAGGCCACACCTGTGTTCTTTGGCTGTGGGGACAAGCCATCCCCGGCTACACAGCCCTGACAATCCCCAGTCATTTCCTCAAGGTACAGTGAGGAAGCGCCAGAGTTCCTCTGCTCTCTGGGACAGCCTGAGCAGCTTGCAATAATCACTCAGAGCCTCGGTTTCCCTCAGCTAGGGAACCAAAACTTCCAGGTTTGAAAGACAAGTAAGAGAGTTAGTGAGATCAGCCAGCTGTTTGTGTAGACCGCGGTGGAGGCAGAAAGACGTCTTCAAGTTAGAGGTTAACCTGGACCATAAGAACACCCCAGAAAAAGCTATGATATTTTCAAAGGGACTGTGACAGTGTCTCAGAGGTTAAGAGGGTGAACTGCCCGAAAGAGGACGCAAGTTTGCTTCCCAATACCTTTTGATCCCCTCCACAGGCGCCTTCATTCATGTGAATTTATTTTTATAGCCCCATACACCTGTGGGCTCAGCATTCAAGAAGCTGAGGCAGAACCGGGTGGTGGTGGTACATTCCTTTAATCCCAGCACTTGGGAGCAGAGGCAGGCGGAACTCTAGGTTTAAGGCCAGCTTGGTCTACAGAGTGAGTTCAAGGATAGGCAGGGCTACACAGAGAAACCCTGTCTTGGGAAAAAAGGAGGAGAAGGAGGAAGAGGAGGAGGAGAAGGAAGAAGGAGGAGGAGGAGGAGGAGGAGGAGGAGGAGGAGGAAGAGGAGGAGGAGGAAAGAGAAAGAAAGAAAGAAAGAAAGAAAGAAAAGAAAAGAAAGAGAGAGACCCAGGAAAGAGAAGACAGGTCCACACCTACATGTTCATGTATGCATACAGGTGCCTAGTGCAGTGATTCTCAACCTTCCTAATGCTGTGACCCTTTAATATAGTTCCTCATGTTGTGGTGACCCCCAAATATAACATTTTTTTAAAAAATATTTATTTATTTATTATGTATACAATATTCAGTCTGTGTGTATGCCTTCAGGCCAGAAGAGGATACCAGACTCCATTACAGATGGTTGTGAGCCATCATGTGGTTGCTGGGAATTGAACTCAGGACTTTTGGAAGAGCAGGCAATGCTCTTAACCTCTGAGCCATCTCTCCAGCCCCAAATATAACATTTTTGTGGCTATTTTATAACAGTAATTTTGCTAATGTTATGAATTATAAGGTAAATATTTGTGTTTTCGGGTCGTCTTAGGCAACCCCTGTGAAAGGGTCATTTGACACCCTCCCCCCAGGGTTATGATCCACAGGGTGAGAACTGCTGGTCTATAGCAATGCTGCAGAAGAACTCAGAGTTCACCAGCCCAGAGGGCGTAAATAAAACCAACCTATCCATACAACGGGCTATATCTGGACAGAAAAAGGAAAGAAATGCAGCTAGCACCATCCCCAGCTAAGAAGAGAAGCCAGATGTAAAAGGTCACACAGTCTGCGATGCCATTTTTATGAATGGGCAAATCCATAGACAGAGGCAACCTGGGGCTTCTGGCCAGAGCTCTGAGAGGCGCCAGGAGTGATGGTGAGTGTGCACAGGTTCCTCTTTTTTTATTTATTTTTTTATTTTTTTAAAGATTTATTTATTTATTATATATAAAGTGTTCAGCCTCCATGTATGCCTGCAGGCCAGAAGAGGGCACCAAATCTCATTACAGATGGCTGGGAGCCACCATGTGGTTGCTGGGAATTGAACTCAGGACGTCCGGAAGAGCAGTCAGTGCTCTTAACCTCTGAGCCATCTCTCCAGCCCCCACAGGTTCCTCTTCGAAGGCAATGCAAACATCCTCAACTTTACGATGGTGCTGTCTGTGCAATTGTGAACATGGAAGCAACCACTCGGAGGCGTGAATGAGGCTGGGGAGCAGCATGGCTGTGGCTTTGGATAGAACCCAAGCTGAAGGACAGCAATATACATCCTGTCAACACAAGTTTGTTTGTTTGAGGTGCTGGGAATGGAACGAAGGGCCTCACACATGCTCGACAAGTATTTTCCTATTGAACAACAGACATAGCCCTTCACTGGGGGATTCTAGGCAGGTGCTCTACCACTGAGTCACACCCCAACCCCTCACTGGGAAATTCTAGGCAGGTATTCTACCACTGAGCCCCAGCCCCAGCCCCTCACTGGGAGATTCTAGGCAGGGGCTCTACCACTGAGCCACACCCAGTCCCTCACTGGGGGATTCAGGCAGGGGCTCTACACTGAGCCACACCCCAGCCCCTCACTGGGGGATTCAGGCAGGGGCTCTACACTGAGCCACACCTCTTTTCAGACACAGTCTGACTAAGTTGTCCAAGCTGGCCTTGAACTCACTCTGTAGCTTAGGCAGACCTTGTTTGATTCTCCTGCCTCAGCCTCCCCAGTGGCTGGGATTATAATCTTGTACCACCAGGCATAGATACACCAATCCAGGCTTGAACTCCTATGACAAACAGCTGATCTTGGGCAGATTCTTTAAACTTGGGGTGCCTAAGATGTGATAGTAGTATGTCCCTTTGAGGACTGTGAGGTGATGAAGGCGATCAGCTGGATGAAAAGGTTCATGCTGGGCACACAGAATGGCCCAAGTGGCTATCAGGAGTAACCAGCAGAGCAGATGGAACCATGGCCCCCACAAACACATTCTCGTCCTAGTCCCCAGAACCTATCTATAGCAAAAGGGACTTTGACCTCAAGAAGATCAGGTAGGGCTGGGCGGTGGCAGTGCATGCCTTTAATCACAGCACTTAGGGGGCAGAAGCAGGTGGGTCTCTGTGAGTTAGAGGCCAGCCTGGTCTACCAGAGCAAGTTCCAGGAGAGGTTCCAAAGCTACGCAGAGAAACCCTGTCTCGAAAAACAAACAAACAAACAAACAAACAAATAAAAAGATCAGCTGGGTTTATGTGATCATGTGCTCACAGAGCCCTTGTGAAAGGTCAGCAAGGGTCAGAGTGACAGAGGATGTGGCACAGGTTAGCACCTGGAAGATGTTATCTGCTGGCTCTAGAGGAGGAAGGAAGGCAGTAGAAGCTGAAAAACACAAAGAAATAGATTTCCCTAGAGCATCCTAAACCAGTGGAGCTTCCCTGACACCTTGACTTTATTTTTAATATTATAGTTTTTGGTGCTGGGGACAGTGCCCAGGGCTCATACACCTGAAGCACCTCCCCGGCCCCTTGTGTGGTTTTTGAGACAGAGCAATCACCCTGGTTGGCCTAATACTTGCAGTCCTCCTGCCTCAGCTGCCAAATGCACTACCAGGTCTAGCTGTTCAGTATAATCCATTTCTTGGCCCTGGCTTCCAGAACATTACCCAGTCTGGTCCACATTGGTGTTTTTGGTATTACCCATGATTCCTTGCTTCACTGCCCCTTAGTGTGCCCACTGCAGGAATTACCCAGAAAAACAAGGCATTTGTCCTTCCTTGAGCCATTAGTGCAGTCACAGGAGATGAATACAGATTTAGTCACAATAGGTTTTGCTTTTCCTCTCCTGTAGCCCAGGTGGGCCTCAAACTATCTCTGTAGACAAGGCTGGCCTTGAGATCCTGATCCTCTTGCCTCTACTTCCCTAGCGTTAGGATTATAGACATGCTTACCATGTCTATTTTCTATGGTGCTGGGAATTGAACCCAGGCCCTCATGTAACGCTAGGCAGGCACTCTGGCAGCTGGGCTACAGCCCAACCCCTTTTTTTTTTCTCCTTTTCTTTCTTATAAAGATTTATTTTTAATTATGTGTAGGTGTGGGTGTGCTTGTGTGGATATAGGCCTCCCCCCAAGATCTCTCTGTAGCTCACTTCAGCCAGTCCTCAGCTGAGGCAATGTCTCATCAGGAACTTCCCCGACAGCCTGCCTCCTAGACAACCTCCACCATAGCTCCTGCCTTACTTCCTTCATGGCACTTAATCATAAGCTGACATATCTGTTTATTTTTAAATATATGCACTCATGCTAGTCTGGGTGAAATCCAGGTTGGATTCTTTTCTCTCTCTTTCTTTCTTTCTTTCTTTCTTTCTTTTCCCCCAAGACAATGTTTCCCTGTGTAACAACCCTGGCTATCCTGGAACTCACTTAGTAGACCAGGCTGACCTTGAACTCACAGAGATCCATCCACCTGTCTCTGCCTCCCGTGTGCCACCACTGCCCGAGCATGCTGGATTTCAAATGTGAGGTTATGAGAAGAATGGGGGCCCTTGCAAGTTGTCTCATCAGGCCTGACTTGACCAGGGACCCACATGGGAGAAGGACAGAAGTGACGCTTGTGGCTTGTCCTCTGACTTCCACATGTATAGCTCCTGCCGGTAAACAACAAATAAACAAATAAATGTAATAAAACCCGTGGCTCAGTAAGGAGAGCGCTTGCCTGGCATGCACGACATCCTGGGTTCCATTCCCAGCACTGCACAAACTCGGCCGGTGACCCACACCTGTATTTCCAGCACCAGGGTGCTAGAGGCAGGAGTATCAGAGCCCCAAGGTCATCCTCTGATATATAACAAGTTCTGCGCTGGCCTGGGACACATCAGACCCTGCCTCAAAAATAAATATATTAAAAACTCTGTGCAAGTTAGGCATGGCGGTGCGCACCTTTAATCCTAGAGAAGCAGAGACAGGTGCATTTCTGTGAGTTCAAGTCCAGCCTGGTCTACAAGATTTCACAGAGAGACCCTGTTTCAAACAAAACGTTAAAAAATACTAATGAATCTGGAGAGATGGCTCAGTGTTCAAGAGCACTGGCTGCTCTTCCAGAGGACCAGGGTTCAATTCTCAGCACCCACATGGAGGCTCAGAGCTGTCTGTAACTCCGGTCACCCTCTTCTGGCCTCTGTGGGCACAAAGCATGCAGCACACAGACAAATGTGGAGGCAAAACACTTATACATAGAAACTAAAATTAAATTATAAATGTGCAGTAATTCTTTTTTTTTTTTTTTGAGACAGGGTTTCTTTGTAGCTTATTTATTTATTTATTTATTTATTTTGGTTTTTCGAGACAGGGTTTCTTCTGTGGCTTTGGAGCCTGTCCTGGAACTAGCTCTGTAGACCAGGCTGGTCTCGAACTCACAGAGATCTGCCTGCCTCTGCCTCCCGGAGTGCTGGGATTAAAGGCGTGCGCCACCACCGCCCGGCTTCCAATAATTCTTATACCGGGGTGGTGGAGGAGTACCTGCCGAGCACGTTTGAGCCCGGGATTTGACCTGCAGCACCACAGAAAAATTAGAAAGCAGCAATTTTTATGCCGAATCCGTGTGAAAAAGTCATGGATATACTGGTTTCCATCCTCCGTGTTAAAGTGAATTTTCTATGTTTCCTCCTAGCATGCACTTTCTGATGCTACGGAATGACATGGCCTTAGAACTGCAGGCCCACGGCGGCCAGACCGTCCCCTGCGTCCCCTGCAAATGGTGCCTGGAACACGGAGGTACATCTGGGGCCTGGGGGTGTGGCGTGTAGAGGCTTGCTTTGCATGAGTAAGGCCCGGGGTTGAATCTCCAGTTTTAAAACTATATCCATAAGCCGGGTGGTGGTGGCGCACGCCTTTAATCCCAGCACTCGGGAGGCAGAGGCAGGCGGATCTCTGTGAGTTCGAGGCCAGCCTGGTCTACAAGAGCTAGTTCCAGGACAGGCTCCAAAACCACAGAGAAACCCTGTCTCGAAAAACCAAAAAAAAAAAACAAAAACAAAAAAAACAACTATATCCATATAATTGCTGAGTGAATGGCACAGGCTGTGTGTTCCATACAGGCATACCCACACAGCCCTGCTCTCTGTACCCTCTCACCCACTGGCTGCCTGCCTGCCTTGAGGACCCGACTCGGCTGGCCCACATCACCCAGGAGAGCACTTGGCACACCATGGCACGCCCATAGGGTTGGACACTGCATAATCAGGCAGAACTGTGGGTCTGTGGCCTGGGGCTAAGTGGTGAGCCCAGTGGAGTAAATCTCTGTGAAGGGCAGGATGCAGTCAGTCTGAAGCCATGTCTACAGAGAGCATAGGGAAGAGGAAGGCGCGATCGAGGGCTGCTGAGGATTTTGTGGGGAAAATGACTTTAGCTTGAAGTGCCTCTGTTACAGAAGAGATGTGATGGGCCTGATCTGACCCTGCACCCAAGCCACACAAAGAGGCCTGGGCTGGGGAGGAGGAGCTCCATTCTCGCTGTGTACAAACAAGCAGGGGTGCCTGGCTTCCTGGCTGCAGCTGGTGACATTCTGAAGCAACAAGTGCAGCTGAGAATTCCATCCAACTCGGGTGACCTGTGATGGCCCAGCCCAGACATAGCAGAAATAAAGCACTGGCAAGGGACATGAAAAAGTGCCGGCAGAACTTCTGGCAGACACCGGGCCTAAGCCCACAGTCAGGATTCAGCTCGAAGGCAAAGACCTCCCTCCCCTCCCAGAGGCCCTCCAGGAGAGGTGGAATATGGGGGCTGGGCACAGCAAGAGGGAGATAAGGGAGGGAAATGGGGGTGGAAATGGTGGGGTATCTTAGTGTGTCTCCCCAGACTTCACACCTCTGAGTCTTGGGCCTCTAGTGACAAACTCTTTTATACATGAGACCGTTTTTTGTAGGTCCCAGGCTCTGGCCTAGGCCCTGTATGTCCACTAGCCGTCCCCAACCCAATGCTTGTCACCGTCCAAGGCGGGGACGGAGATTACCCTGTGATACCATGACACCATGACACAGAAGATAGCGATCTGTCCCAAAGCTCACAGCCTGACAGTTTGTGGGGTTTGAAACCAGGCTGTCTGGCTCCAGTGTCCCACAGATGCTGAGATTCTGAAAATTAATTACAGGACCAAGGGAGGCACTTTCCGGCTCCAAGTGTGACCCTGGAAATGCAGCTGACTCTGAGGAGCTCAGTTTCCTTCCTGACCCCAGGACACAGGACAAGGGGGGTTGTAAACACAGACCAGCCTGACTATAACGCTCTGACACACCCATGGTCTGTCATCAGGGTGAGGCCGAACACCTAGTTTTGACCATTGTCTCTTAAGACAACTGAAGAGCCATCTCAACAGTACACAATAGAGGATGGCCTGCCAGGGAGCTTCAGAGAGGCTAACCAAACTTCCTGAGGCCACACAGCAAGCCAGAACAGGTCCCAGCATCCAGAGGAAAGGAGTTTCCTCCCATCCCCAGTCGGAGAGAGGACCTTCCAGAGCCGCCCAGGCTGAGGTTGGGGCAGGAAACCACACGTCTCCCACTTCCCTACCCCAGGCACCTAGTCTGGTCTGGTCTGGTTTCCCAAAGGCAGACAACCGCTCTAAAGGCAGAAGGTGGGCCTGAAAGTCGCTTGCAGTTGTTCAGCCCCCAATTCAAGCAGACTGGGGAAGAGACCCTGGAAGTATCTCCCAACGGCAGGGAACCCGGGGGGGGGGGGGGGGGGGTTAATCCCACTGCATTCGGCATTCGGACCCTCTGCTTCCTCATCCGGAAAATGACACGAAAATCCTCACTTTATAGTTGTAAAAGAACTAAATACGTGATGAAGGCTGGGAAGACACCTAAGGGTGCAGGTGGATAAACTGGGGGAACCCTGGGAAGAAAGTTGCGTCTATAAAGCCCGGGATGGGGTTCAGGACTGGCGCTCACGCTGAGGTCACTGATAGGATGACAGGGAGGGCTGGGTAGCTGGTGTCACACCTTGGTCACAAAAAAAAAAAAAAGGGTGGGTGGGGACTGACTTCCTTCCTGGAATAAAATAATACTATCTAAGTACTGTGCCCACTGCATCCCATTTGATCCACGGAGGTGGGTTCTATAGTAACCGCCAATGGACAGATAAGGAGACAAAGCCCAGAGATCCTCTGCAAGTTACCCAAGGTCACACAGCTACTAAAATGCTCCTCCAAGCTGGGCCAAGACACCGGAGCCTCCCTCCCGCCTTCACCCTAAGCATTCTCTTCTACTCTAGGCACTGTGTACACTCATCCACACGGAAACTAGCGGCTGCCCAGAACCGAATGGCACCCACGGAGTTGGAGCCCTTTGCCCGGACTGGCAAACTGAGGCCTCCGCCCACCTTCTGATGCTTGCGCTCCTTCTCAATGCGGTCCATCCTCTCCACGCGCAGCCGGTCCAGCTCCAGGCGCAGTTCGTCCAGCTCGGGAGCGACGTGGTGCCGGCTCACCAGCACCTCGAGGATCTCCAGGACCCTCACGACCTTGGGCATGAGGCGCGCGATGGACTCGCAGCCGTGCTGGTCGATGACCCTCTCGAACTCGTGGCCCACGAGCGACGCGATGTCGTACACATCCATGACGGTCAGTTCCGCCACGTTCTTCTCCAGCGCCGACAGGGCGGCGGGCGGCGACCCTAGCGGCTCCTCCATGGCCCCGCGCGGGTCCCGCGCCGCCGGTCCACTCGCGTAACTCGTGAACTTGGGGGGCGGGGGGGGGGGGCTGAAGCACCGCGGGGAGGATGGCGAGGGCGGCGGCGCGTGCGCAGGCCCGCGGCGCCTCCCGACTTGCGGCTCCGACACCGAGCGATGGAGACGTGGGTCCCGGCCTGGGAGACGGGTGGCGCCCGGTGCCCGGAGGGACCGCGGCCCGGAGACTCCTCCCGGGGAGGAGAATCAAACTTTGGCGACGCCGAGTGACTCCGGGTGGCCGGCTCCTCCCCGCCGGGACGCTGCGAGGCGACGTGGGATTGGAGAGGGGCGCGCGTCTCCGTCCCCGGGGGTCCCGGTGCGCCGCCCCGCTAGTCCCGAAGCTCCGCCCCCAGCTCCGGTCCCGCCTCTCGGGCTCTGGTCCCTGCGACCCCGGCCCTGCTCCGCCTCCTCCAGCCGCGCTCCGCCTCTCGGGCAGCGGGGGCCACCGCGCACGGCCATTGGCTGCTTCTGGAGGAGGTGGAGTCTGTCTGCGGAGGGAGGGGGTCATGGGTGGGCTCACCCTGCGATCCAGCCGGTGCAGTGGGGATCCCGGCAACTAGAAGCTCCCTGTTATTCCCTTGGCCACTCCAACTCTGTGGCTCCCCACCCTGTGCTTCAGCTGGCGCCTCTGGGACAGCAAACCACAGCGCACAGGGATCCTCGGTCCTCAAAGCCACCTAATGTGCTACCCGGATTTCAGTACGTCCTGGGGAAACTCTGATCCCTCAGGTCTACTCTCCCCTCGGCTCCCCAGTCTACCCCGACTCCGTAGCACTCCACTCTGTGCTCCAGCAGAGTCTCCGGCAACTGCAGCCAACAACACAAAGCGTCCTCGGTTTTCAAAGTAGCTGGCTAGTCCGCTTGCCCAGTCACTAACCCGCAGCTCCTTAGAGCCAAACGTTTCCTTCCATCTCAGGGGAAAGAAACAGGCTGGGGATTTGGGTCTCAGTCCCAAGACTGGTCCCAAGCTCTCTTCGTCCTTTGGCCTCGCCATCAGACTCCATCCCAGGAGAGATTATCCTGATTCGGCCCCGGCCCCTACTATTCTGTTCCCACGCGTCCAGGAGGAACACGCCAAATTCCCACCATCATAAACTGCAGTCTGACTGGGAGGTCCCTGGTTCTTCAGGACATAAGCTTTGTTATTTTTGTTTTAAGTTGCAACTCGCTATGGAGACCAGGCTGGTTTTCAGACTCATAGAGGTCCTCCTGTCTCTGCCTTCTGAGTGGTAGTGTTAAAGGCATGCTCAACCTTTTGTCCTATTCTCTCTCTCTCTCTCTCTCTCTCTCTCTCACACACACACACACACATACACACACACACACACACACACACACACACACACACACACTTGAGGAAGCCCAAGGGTTGCAGTAGCCTCCGCCTCAATCTGCTTTTCCTTCTCTCTCTCTCTCTCTCTCTCTCTCTCTCTCTCTCTGTGGTCTCAGTTACAAAGTCCAACTGCTGTGTGGAAACATTAAATGATGACAGCAGAAAGAAACAAATTATAAGTTTTAAATAATTTGGTTTTGTTTTGTTTTTTCGAGACAGAGTTTCTCTGTGTAACAGTCCTAGCTGTCCTCGAACTAGCTTTTGTAGACCAGGCTTGCCACCGGAACTCACAGAGATGCGCCTACCACCACCGCCCATCTCAATTTTAAATAACTTTTAATACAGAATATTATTAGAATAATCCTACTTATTGTTAAAACAATCTTACTCTTGAGCTGCGCAGTGGTGACCTGTGCCTTTAATCCCAGCACTCAGGAGGCAGGCAGATCTCTGAGTTCGAGGCCAGCCTCGTCTTCAGGACAGCCAGGGCTACACAGAGAAACACTGTCTCAAAATTTATTATATTTATTACAGTAGCTGGGTTTTTTGTTGGCCCTGAGGCTGCTACACCAGAGGCTGCTGCACTGGAGGGAAACTGTTGCACTGGGGGGCTACACTTTCCTGTGGATCCTGCTGAACATCTGGAAGGTAGCTGACCAACACAGCCCAGCTCAGCACTGGAGAGCTCTGTCTCAGGCTCTGCTTGAAGCATATCATGTATTTTAGTATTTTTAATGTGTCTGTAAATCTTGGGGCGAATGTGTCACTCCAAAATACTCTCTCTCTCTCTCTCTCTCTCTCTCTCTCTCTCTCTCTGTTGTGTTTCTCTCTGTAACTCTGGCTGTACCGTACCTTGCTGTATAGACCAGGCTAGCCTTGAACTCACAGAGATCTGCCTGCTTCTGCCTCTCAGAGTGATAAAGATGTGCACCACCACACGCATATGTGTGTGTGTGTGTGTGTGTGTGTGTGTGTTCTTAAAGCAGAGTGAACACAGATCTATTAAAGAAATGCAAAGAAGAACTCCCAAGAGAAGGAGGGGCTCCAAGAGAGGAATGTCCATATACATTTTTGTTAGTTAGTTAGTTTGTTCGTTTTGAGACAGGGTTTCTCTGTGTAACAGTCCTAGCTGTACTGGAACTCGCTCTGTAGATTAGGCTGGCCTCGAACCCACAGAGATCCTCCTGCCTTTACCTCTCAAGTATTGGGATTAAAGACGAGCACCACCACTGCCCGGCTGGAATACCTTTATTTTATTTATGAACTGAGCCATTTTGTTGAGCCTATTTACTTTAATTAATTAACCAACCAAACAATTTTGTCCCAAGCCAGGGTTTCTCTGTGTAATCTTGGTTGGCCTGGGACTCATTCTTTAGACCAGGCTGGTCTCAGACTCAGTGATCAGCCACCTCTGCCCCAGGAGTGTTGGGATAAAAGATGTGTGCCACTACCGCCCAGTTTATTAATCAGCTTTGAAACAAGGCCTCACTGTGTAGGGCTGGTTGACCTGGAACTCACTATATAGACCAAGACCAGGCTGGCCGTGAACACATCAATACTCTGTGCATCCAGAGTGCTGGGATTACCGGTGTGTACTGAAGCGCTCAGCTCAGTCTTCAGAACTGTGTCAAAGTAAACCATTCCCCTGTTCAGAAAGGTAGATAAACTCTCCCAGCACTGAGGGGAGATATATCAACAGCGACCCAACATGGCATCAGCCGCATAGCCACTCTTACCCCTAGCTGGGTGGAGAGAGCACAGAAGGCTTCGTGGAGGAGGAGGCCTCAGGCGCAGACTAAAAGGCAGAGCTCAAACCACCTGTGAAGTTTTCAAAGGCTCTGCTGTGTGTGTTCATCTGTCAGCTTAGATGGCCCAGGGCAGGCAGGCAATAGAGGGAAAGGATCAGAGGGAGTGAGAGAGTTACCGTGGTAACCAACAGACCAGAAGTCATTCATCAAGCAGCGGGAGCTGGATCTGGTGGCACACACCTGCATGGCCAGCTTACTGGATGTGGAGGCAGGAAGACCAAGAGGTGAGTGTGTGCGGTGAAGGTGGGGCAGAGGAGCACATCTATGTTCTGATGAGTGGTAGTGCAAGCTCGGAGGGCAAAGACATCTGTCATCAAGTCTTGTGGGTGGGGTTTCATCCCCAGGACCCACTAGGTACTAGGACAGAATTGACTCCTGAAAGTGTCCTCTGACCCTGGGTGTGCTAGGGTGTGGATGGCCACAAGTGTGCCTACACACAAAAATTAACAATTTGAAATCTGAGCCAGGTAGTGGTGGTGCAGGCTTTTAATCCCAGCAGGAAGCGGAGGCAGGCGGATCTCTGTGAGTTTGGGGCCAGCCTGGTCTACAGAGTGAGTTCCAGGACAAATTCCAAAGCTACAGAGGAAGCTTGTCTGGGGAAAAAAAAATGAAATCTGGTGAGGTTCTGCACTTAGAAGACAAGAGACAAGCAGATCTCTGTGAGTTTCAGGCCAGCAGGACTATGTAGTAGGACCCCAGCTTGCCAGGTGGTGTTGCATGTCTTTAATTCCAGCACTCAGGAGGAATTAAAGTTTGTGAGTTCGAGGCCAGCCTAGTCTAAAGAGCAAGTTCCAGGACAGCCAGAGCAACACAGAGAAACCCTGTGTCAAAAAACAAAACAAGGGCTGGAGAGATGGCTCAGAGGTTAAGAGCACTGGCTGCTCTTCCAGAGGTCCTGAGTTCAATTCCCAGCAACCACATGGTGGCTCACAGCCATCTGTAATGAGATCTGGTGCCCTCTTCTGGCCAGCAAGCATATAGACAGACAGAACACTATATACATAATAAATAAAATAAATAAATCTAAAAAACAAACAACAATAACAAACAAACAAATAGAGAAAAAAATTGACCAAGGCGCCAAGTTCCCATTGCTGCTGTAGGACCAGTGTGGCTTAGGAGAGACACTGCATTTTTATCTGGATGACTTTCATCTGTAAAATGGGAAATCGCCTTCATCACGGAGACTTTTGTCCCTTGGGTTTTTGTTGAAAGCATATGACGTCCTAGAAAGGCTCGCTCTCAATTTTAGATTGATTTTTTTTACACAGTCATCTCTGTTAAGGCAACCCATTTCCGTTCATTTCTTAAAAATCCTTTTATTTATCTGTGTGAGGTGGGTAGGGGGTGGGTGCTTAAAGAGACTGGAAAAGGGCATCAGATCTCCTGAAACTGGAGTCAAAATAGGTTGTGAGCTGTCATGTGGGTGCTGGGAACTGAACCTGGGTCCTCTATCAAGACCAGGCAGTTCTTCGAACCACTGACCCATCTTTCCAGCCCTGTTTTGCTTGCTGTTTGAGCTCAGGCTGGCTCTGACCTTCTGGTGATCCCCCTGCCTCCTCTTCCTGGGTGCAGAGATGAAAGATGTGGGCCACATCGCAGGGCTCCAGACATGGACTCCTGAGATCTGGTCTGCCGCTATGTCTCACGTTCCTCTGCTTTTCTCTCCGCCTCTCTAGGCACCACCCAACTTCCCTGAGGTCCAGTGTGAGCCTGTGAATCTGCTCGCACATATTATAAAATTCCATCTCTTCTGAGGCCTCCAAGCGGCTGGAATCGCCTGTCTGTGCCGTGATGAGACAAATGTTGTAAACCAGGACCACAACATCCCAGCCTCCATAGAAGAACCAGAAGATGCTGTTTGGCCAAGACTCACAGTGATGGTCCACCTAGCCCAGAAGGAAGTTCTGGTCTCGAGCAGAGACTAGAACTGAATGAATGTTGAGAGGGGTGTGGCTTGCAAGTGTGGGCCGATGATGGAGGTGAGGTAATGGAAGTAACAGAAAAAGGCTTACATCCCAGTACTTAGGAGGCTAAGGGTCAGGCGTTCAAAGCCAGCCTGGACTACACAGTGAAACCATACCCCTTCTCAAAAAATGAAAAAACAAGGAAGTCGATAAATAAGTAGAAAGAAAGCAAAGGAAGCAGGCTAACGCACTGGAGAATCCATTCCAAATGGATCCGAACCTCATATAAAATATGCTCAGTGGCTGGGGCAGGTACCCTGAAATCCCAGCTCCTGGGGAGCCCACAGCTTTCTTCTGCCTCCACTGGCTCCAGCCTGCATGTGGTACACACGCGTGAACACACACTAAAGTAAACAAAAATAAATTGTATGCTGACAAACAACTGTCACCTTGCTGGGAGATGCTGGCAAAAGGACCAGAGTTCGAGTATCTCCTAGATCGTGTGCTGAGTTCACGGCCAACCTTGGCAATAGAGGAGCCTGTCTAAAAAGAAGTGGGGGCGGGGGCACTGGAGAAAGGGCTCAACAGGTGAGGGACCCAGAGTCAATTTCCAGCACCCACATGGTGGCTCACAACTGTCTGTACGTCAGTTCCAGGGGCTCCAGTGTCATCATCTTCTGAACTCCCCAGGCATGCCTGATGTACACAGACATATATACAAGCAAAACACTTAGGTATAGCCGGGCGGTGGTGGCACACGCCTTTAATCCCAGCACTCGCGAGGCAGAGGCTGGCAGATCTCTGTGAGTTCGAGACCAGCCTGGTCTACAAGAGCTAGTTCCAGGAGAGGCTCCAAAACCACAGAGAAACCCTGTCTCGAAAAAACAAAACAAAACAAAACAAAACAAAAAAACGAAAACAAAAAACCAAAAAAATACTTAGATAAATAAAATGAATCCAAAATTTAAAATAAATAAATAAATAAATAAGTAGGGGTTGGAGAGATAGCTCAGTTGTTAAATATGTATACTTCTCTTGCAGAGAGCCCAAGTTTCTCGGCAGTCATATCAGGTGGCTCTCAGAAACCTGTAACTACTTCCAGGCCATCCTGCACCTTTTTCTCTTGCCCAAAGTCATCTGTGGACACATACTTGTACATATAAATAAAAAGAAAGTTTTAAAACTGTCTTAACTAAAGATCACATTTCACAGGACAGTTGGAAGGCCTTCACTAGTCTCGGTGTTTTGTGTTTGTAATCCTCGCACTTAGGAGGTAAAGCCAGGAGGTTCAGGAGCTAAAAGCTGGATTGGAGAGATAGCCCAGTAAGGGAACCTTTTAGTACCCTGAGTTTCATCCCTAGGACCCACGTGGAAGAAGTAGAGAGCCCACTCCTGCGAGTTGTTCTCTGACCTCAACACAGGTGCATGTTCTTACACAAATAAAATATTAAAAAATAAAAACCTGGGCAGTGGTGGCACACACTTTTTTTTTTTGTTTTTCGAGACAGGGTTTCTTTTCTCTGTGGCTTTGGAGCCTGTCCTGGAACTAGCTCTTGTAGACCAGGCTGGTCTCGAACTCACAGAGATCCGCCTGCCTCTGCCTCCCGAGTGCTAGGATTAAAGGCGTGCGCCACCATCGCCCGGCTGTGGCACACATTTTTTATCCTAGTAGTTGGGAGGCAGAGGCAGGCAGAACTCTGTGTTTGAGACCAGTGTGGTCTATAGAGTGAGTTCCAGTACAGTCAGGGCTACACAGAGGCACCCCTGTCTCAAATGGCCAGCCTGTGTTTTGTAAGATCCTGTCTCAAAACTACGTTTATTTCTTTAGACCTGGCAGGGTGGTGCACACCTTTAACCCCAGTACTCGGGAGGCAGAAGCAGGTGAATCTCTATGTGTTTGAGGCCAGCTTGGTCTACGTAGTGAGTTCCAGACTAGACAGTGTAATGGGTCTTTCTTTGAAATGCCAAAATAATGACATAGAGACTTCTTATTAATTATGAAAGCTTGACCTTAGTTTAGGTTTGTTCCCAACTAACTCCTAAAACTTAAATTAACATATTAATCTGTGTTCTGCCACATGCCTTGTTAACCTCAGTATTGTACATGCGACTTCCTCTGAATCTGGCTGGCGAATCTCCTCTGCCTCAGATTCTTTCCCAGAATTCCTATCTCTCCCTGGAAGTCCTGCCTATTCTCTTCTGCCTCATGATTGGTTGTCCAGCTCTTTATTAAGCCAATCAGAAGGTGCCTTAAGCAGGTGAGGAAGGACAGAGACACATCTTCATCTTCACACACTGTACAAAAAGATAATCCCAACAAGCCAGGGATACATAACAAGATTCAAAAAGGCCCTCCTTTGGGTTGTTACATGATAAGGGGGAGAGGCGCTTGCCACCGAGCCTGAGGGTCTGAGTTCTAGCCTCAGGGCTTACGCCGTAGACACAGAGAACCAACTTCCACACTTGTCAACTTCCCTGCCTGTCACTGGATGCACATATCCCACCCTGCCAAATGAAAAAAACAGATAAATTTAAAGCCCCTCCCTGCAGAGGCTTTCTTATTGTTTTTTTGGCCTTTTAAATAACGAAGGCTTTGTACAGCAGGAGTGGTACTGCACAGAAGAAAACTCCTTTGGGTGTGGGGAGAAGGCTCCAGGCCAGTGTGGGACCCTTCCCCCGGTTATAGGGGAAAGAGGCACAGACAGGTGACACACCACAAGATCCCCTGTGAGCAGGCGAGCCAGAGGGGAACACTGATTCCGCGGAAGGAGAAGTCACTGCTTCCTGGAAACTCTGGCCGCGGGGGTCTGAGAGTCTGACAAGACAACTCCGGAGCCTGAGTGTGGTGGTGGGCTGCAGCCATGGCGCTTTTCCAGAATGGACAACGGTGCTCAACCAGCAGCGGCAGCAGCAGGACCAGGAATAGGCTCGGGTTTAAATAATCTCCCACTCCCACTCGCGACGCCCTCTTCACAGCCCATGGCAACTGCTGTAGCTCATCATCCCTCTCTTTTCTATCTCCTCCTCCTCCTTCCTGTGTACACTCTCTTCTCTACCTCCTCCGTGTCTCCTGCTACCTGCCTCGCCCTCCTCCTCTTCCCTCCCACGTCTACCGATGAGCCTCCTCTTCTCCCTCCCTCTTCCTCCCTCTGGAAGAGCAGAAATTCCCCTGACTTCAACGCTGTGGTGTCTGACGAGTATTCTACCGACATTCTGTTGCTCTTCAAGGACTGCCGGGAGGTTCTGGGCTCACCCTCCATCTTCTGCCTCCTTCACCTCACATCCCTGCCTTTCAGATCCTGTTGCTAGTTCCAGGACGCCAGGGTCAGGGCCTCACTTTCTGCTGTCAGGAGTGTAATAGGGAAAGCTGACCTGTCTAAATACTTCCTCTGGGACCAAAAAATTCAACTCTTACTGTGCAACTTAAAGGGAGCGGGAGAAGAATGCTATCAGCCGCTTTACTCAGAACGGTACAAAGCTGGGTATAAGTGGAATTTCCATCGCTAAATTCACCCAATGGAGTACTATGCAGCAGTGAAAAACCACACGATTCTGCTGTGCCATAGTATGGGAGTACTCACAAGCACAATGTTGAGAAATTCATTCATTCAACACATACGAGAGGCTGAGCTTGGCGGTTGAGACTTTAACCTGGCACGTGTGAGGTTCGGGGCCAGCCTCATCTACACAGTAAGTTTCAGACAAACCAACAACCACCAGGAATTGAGAACTAAGAGTGGCGACTCATGTTTGTAATTCTAGCCTTTGGAAGCTGAAACAGGGGGATTGATTTAAGTTTGAAGCTAGCCTGGGCTGCTACAGTCCTTTTCATTACCTAAATCAAATCGCCAGATCTCTGAAGGCCTTTGCATTTGGACACCTGGCTTGTATTAAACTCATAACCTACAGCTTGTTGTTCCCTGAGACATTAGATTTTCCCATTTGAAATCCTGAATGGGTGACTATAGAATAGCATTTAATCTCTTCCAAATTAAAACCAAATTAAATTTCTATATTAAAGCAAATTTGTCTTTGGGTGGTTTTCTAAAGAGCTGACGCGCTGGGGAAAGGAGGCCCTGTGTGGGGCTGGAAGAGGGAGGAGCACTGGCTAAGGTTGAGAGACTTCATTGCTGGGAAGACACTGTCACTACAGCTCTACCTCTCTCTTGTCACCTACCGTGGGAAACTGCTGCCCCCTATTGCCTAATGGTTTCTCTCTCTCTCTCTCTCTCTCTCTCTTTCTCAAACAAACAAAACCAACCAACCGAACAAACATACAAACAAGAAAACCCATGAGATTTGCAAGCTCGCTGTGCTGTCCTAGTCACGGTCACAGAACTATGTGGAAAAGTGGAACTGCAAGCCAGACTTGTAATCTTCAAATTTGTCCAATGAACTCACCCAACATGTGACAACACGTGTCTTGTGTGCCCCCAAATGGAAGCATACAGAAGGCTAGACCTTCTCAAGACAAGCAAGCAGTTGCTTTTTTTTTTCTAGTGAGAACAAGTGTGCACTGCAAACACAGAAGGGCTGGTGGCCAACCAATATCCTGTAACCAGAGCTGGAGAGATGGCTCAGTGGTTAAGAGCACTGGCTGCTCTTCCAGAGGTCCTGGGTTCAATTCCCAGCATCCACATGGCAGCTCACATCTGTCTATAACCTGGTTCCAGGGGATCTGACACCATCCCACAGACATACATGCAGGCACAACATTAATGCACATAAGATAAGCAAATAAATCATTTAAAAAATTCAGAAATGAAGCAGTGACATTTAAATCGAGTTTTGAGGGACAAACAGACATTCAGCAGGCAATCTGACAATTCCAAGTGGGGGTTAGGGCAGGCGGCAATTCTGTGACAATACTGGGAAGGCTGTAATTTTGGAGAATCTGAACAAGGTGAGATTTTATTTTGCAATATCATGGACATAGATCTTTTGGTTTGTTTGTTTGCTTTTTTAGTTTTTCGAGACAGGGTTTCTCCGTAGCTTTGGAGTCTGTCTTGGAACTAGCTCTTGTAGCCCAGGCTGGCCTCGAACTCACAGATATCTGCCTGTGTCTGCCTCTCAAGTACTGGGATTAAAAGTGTGTGCCACCACTGCCCGGCTGACATAGTTTTTAAAAAGGTTTATTTTTATTATTTTAATTATAAGTATGTGCATGTGAGTGGAGTGGTCTTCAGAGACCAGAAGACTTAGCACTCCCAGCAACCTTAGGGGTTCTCAGAAGGATGATGTGGGGATTAAGAACCTTGAGCATTCCCTAGCCTAGATAAGTAGCATGATGGGGTAGCAAACAAAAGAAACAGAAACATTGGAATTCTCACTTGATGCTGTCTATCTCTGACTCTCCAGTCATCTCCTTAGATACTCCTAAAATTACATTGTAATGGGCAGGGGAAACCCTCATATACTATCACTTTCTGAATAAGTCGTTGTGATCCTTATTTATTGCCATTATGCTTTAAATTTTATGTGCTTGGGGTATTATGTGTGCTTGTGTGTATGTATACCATGTGTGTTCAGTGCTGGTGGAGGTCTGGAGAAGGCGTTGAATACTTGGAATTAGAGTACAGCCGGTTGTGAGCTACCATGTGAACTCTAGGACTCGAACTCGGGACCTCGGCAAAAGAGCAACTAGCACTTCCAAAAGCACAGCGCCTTTTCGCTAGCCCTAGTCCACGTGACCATTAGTTTGAACGTCGAAGGACTGGGGCCGACGGTTTTTTGGCTCATTGGGTACGCCGTCCAGTCTCAGGATCCATCTTGTCCCTCGGCGGCCGCCGTGCGTCCGTTACGTGGCAGCTGTCGGCGCCGGCCAATCAGCGGCGCCCGCATCAGCCCCCACGGGAGGAACAGCCGGAAGGGGAGGAGCTGAGGCGGCGGCGGCTGAGGCGGCAGCGGTGGCGGCGGCTCCGGAGGCCGCAGTCCGCTTCCCGGCTTCGGCCCGTGCCGCACCATGGTGACGCTCGCAGAGCTGCTGGTGCTGCTGGCCGCGCTGCTGGCCACGGCCTCGGGCTACTTCGTCAGCATCGACGCACACGCCGAGGAGTGCTTCTTCGAGCGGGTCACCTCGGGCACCAAGATGGGCCTTATCTTCGAGGTGGCGGAGGGCGGCTTCCTGGACATCGACGTGGAGGTGCGGCCGCGCTGCCCGCCGTCGGGGCGGCGCCGCTCGGCCGCTCGGGGGGTTGGAGAGTCCCGGGTCGCGCGCGGGGCCTGAGCGGGACAGCATCCGCCGGGGCGCGGGCCGGGGAGGGGCCTCGTCGCCGTCCGTCGCGTAGCCCCCCGACGGGCCCTGGCGCGGCCTGGGTAGCGCTCGTCTTTCCGAGCGGCTTCGGGCTCCGCTCGGAACTCGGGCGCGGACTCGGCCTCTCCCTTCGCTTTGTCCCGCGGCGGCCGCGTGTCAGCTCGGGCGGGAGCGGCTTAGCGTCGTTCTCTTCGGTCCGCAAGGACTCGCGTGCGGCGTGGCGCGGGAACAAACTTTGAAAAAGTAGATCGCAAGCCGCCGAGGAGCGCTAAGGCAGCCGTGCAGTTTCTGACTTTGGCAGAAACCAGCTTAAAACTTCCTACCCGCTTTCTTACGCAAGCGGCCCCATCGGCCCCACGAGAGATGCGCTGGGGTCACTCATTTTAGGAGCGAGATTGCAGCGAGGTGTTTTAGAAAACATTTATTTGGAGAATGAAACTGACTTGTCGAATTTTTTTGAGGCAGGGTTGTATTATGTAGCTCACGCAGGCATGAAATTCACCTGCTTCTGCCTTCTGAGGGATAGTCACTGCCATGTCCCGACAGTTTGCTGCAGTAAGGGGGGAGGAACCCTTACAGTACCAGATACACTAGTTTTAATTTGCTTGTTAGTGTTCCCGACGGGGTGTAAAGATTGTTCATTTGGTCGTGATTGATAATAGAGCTGAGCAAATCTCTACTACAACCGGGACCCCAAAGTTTGGAGGCCAGGAACCCATCTAGGTAAAGATGAGCTTTTCCAGTTTCTCAAGCTTTGCAGGTGACTGGCTCTAAAGGAGGCAGGCTTGGGCTGGAGAGATGGCTCAGCGGTTATGCATGCCTGCTGCTCTTCAGAGACCTGGAGTTCAGCGTAGGGGGTTCAACTCTAGCTGTGATGTCAGCTCCAGTGCATCAGATACCCTCTTTTGACTCTCTCTCTCTCTCTCTCTCTCTCTCACACACACACACACACACTTCCAACCTGGTGCTCTTCTCCAATCCTTAATAGGCATGCCAGATAAATCACATCCCTTTGTTGTTTGGCAGTGATAACAAAAAATCCTTGATAAAATTTATCCTTTATAAAATTACTCATTTGGTAGGGTATGATTGGGCACACATTTTTTTCATCTTGGTAACAACTCGATAAATTGTATTTATACAGCAAGAAAGTATCAACAGCACACAGCCAAAACCATAACCAGCCTTAGACAGAGAAACAGCTGTGTGACTTCCTCCAGGGTGTTGAGAAAGGGCATGGTGATATGGCACCTGTGCATCACACATGGCAGTGGCCACCCGCTTCAAGATCATTGCAGCGTGTGCTTGATGGCCTGACAGAAGGGTCTCAGTCCAAAGGGCTCTGGTCTTAATTCCCTAGCACTTTAGACAGAGGCAGCTTGTGCTAATAATAAGACCCTATCTCAAAACAAAAAGCAGAAATAAAATTTCTCAATTGGAAATCTTTCTTCCTGTTGTCGGGACTATCTTGAATTGTCCCGTTTCTGTTTCTGACAGATTTACATTTCCCTTGGACAGATGATACCTTAAGGCGGTTAGAGTGGAGGGGTGCTTTAGGGAACCATTGAGTCCACTCTTGCTGATTAAGTGGGAGAATTAGTGCCCAAAGTGGCTCACTGCTGGGGACCTAATCAAGTCTCAGTCTAGTGGATTTTTTTCCTGCTGAAGGATGCTACTTACGATATTAATATTTAGTGAATTTTCTGTTTTTTTCTTCTGCCTCCAGATCACAGGACCAGATAATAAAGGAATCTATAAAGGAGACCGAGAGTCCAGCGGGAAGTACACGTTCGCAGCCCACATGGATGGGACCTACAAGTTCTGCTTTAGTAATAGGATGTCCACCATGACTCCAAAGATAGTTATGTTCACCATTGACATTGGGGAGGCTCCCAAAGGACAAGACATGGAGACAGAAGGTGAAATGTCACTTTGATGAAAAACTCACTTAAGTTCATTACATGCACCCATCTGAGTACTGTGTGTGTGTGTGAGTGTGTGTGTGATTTTTAAAATTTCTCTTTGCAGATTGATCCACTGTCCTTAAAAATATTCCTGTTTAAGTGGATGTAATCCTGTAATTAACCTGTTTCTCAAGGTTACTGTTTGTTTTCAGTGGTTTTGATTGTCCCTTCTGGCAGCCATGGGGGTCATCGTGTGCTCTTGTAAACCTCTAGTCTCCATGTGTCTGGATTCTCTTAACTTGCTAGTTCTGGGGCCCACACACCTCTGCTTACAGTTGCAGATGTGCTGTGCTAGCCTAGCTAATCTCCTCACTTTTCTCTAGGTGGTGGAGACTCCTGGGATGGTATGTCATTGCTGGTTTTGTTTTTTGACAGCATCCTGTTTTTTGGTTTTGCACCCATGTACCTAGTGTCTGACTCCTCTAACGTCAGTTTGTTGGCATGAGAGTGGTTTTTCCTTCTTAAATCCCCTGTGATTAATTACATTATTTTAGGTAAATTTGAAAATTTGGTTAACAGGTACAAGTTGAATTACTTCAGTTTGATAGAAATGGCAATACCATGCCTGACATTTTTATTTGGCTTTGTCTAAAATGAATGCTGAAGGGTGCAAAGGCTCAACTAACGCACAAGACAGAGACAAGACTAGACACTTTAGAGCCAGCATTATCTAGGCTTCTCACTGCTAAGGTTTCTAATGTGAAGTTTGGTTTGCTTTAAAATACCGTGCATGAGTTGTTCAGAGCTCCTGATGACAAATTTGCTTTGGCGGAATGTTTATTACACATTTTTTGCTTTGTTAATTTTTATTTATTTATTTACTTGGTGGTGGTGGTGCTGGGGATTAGACATAGGACTTTGTTGCATGGCAAGCAAGCACACTTTGAGTGAGCTGCATCCCAGCCTTTTCTGTATATTTTCAATTTTGAGATAGGTCCTCATAGCTTTACCCCTGCTGGGCCTAAGTTGTGATGTTTTTGCCTCAGGTTCCCGAGTAGCTGGGGCCACAGGTCTGTACTATGCTTGGTTCTGGAGAAATTGCTTTGCTGATTCACAGCAGCCAACAGGATGTTTTTCCCTCTTCCCACAGCACATGGTAGAATTTGTGGGAACCGGCTGTTGTTTATCACATCCCGCAGTGTTTGTTTAGGCCATACATACCTCGATATTGAGCATTTACAAGGACCCACACAGTGAAGGTGAAGTTTTGTATGGTTTTGAAGTCTGTAAATTTAAGAATTTTGTTTAATTCCTATGCTTATTATTAGGGCCATTTATAGTGCTGTGCTTGCCTAATTCTCCGTGAGAGAAAATCAGCTTTGAAGGACTTGATATTTTTTTACACTCTAAATGTTGGTCCTATTACATGGCTAGAAAGTAATGGCCTATAAATGTGGGTAGTGAACTTCTGGTTAATCTTTTAGCTGTCTCAGATTCTTGCTTTTGCTTGTTGATGTTAGGTTGAACCTTCTCTAAAGCAGTGGTTTCCAAATGGGTCAGTTTTTGCCATTTGAGATGTTTTTTAATGTCTGTAGACATTTTTTATTCTACAGTTGAAGTTCCAGTCCTAAGAAACCCCACTTAAAACATTTGACATAACGTGTGCACTCCAGAGGCTTCTGAGGGGTGATTGGACATTCTGGTCCAGCCCTTCGGCGTGGAGGCCAGTGGCTTGAAAACCTGAGGGTTACCCTGAGTAAATCTTACCTGAGGCTGGATCCTGGGCAGCTGGGAGGCAACTCTTTATTATTTATTTGATTTGATTTGATTTATTTTTAGAACAGCTTGATTAGAGAGGATACCTGGGGTGGTCGAGATGATTCGTGTGTCAAGTGTGAGGACCTGAGTTTGATCTTGAGGTTTTCCTCTGACCCCTGAATCCCCTCCAGAGCCCCACACCTACTCTTCTGTGAATGAGTCCCTGGTTGAGAACCAGACCACTCCCGGCTTGTTTTCACTCATGCATGCTGCTGCGCTTGGCAGTTGAGATACTCAGGAAGCAGCATGCGACTGGTTAGTTTTCCTGAGTGTTAAGTTCTGTGCTCCACTTTATGTAGTTAAAAACCTGTTTTGGTGCTAAATTAACATCGGAATTAAAGTCGGGCGGTGGTGGCGCATGCCTTTAATTCCAGCACTTGGGAGGCAGAGGCAGGCGGATCTTTGTGAGTTCGAGACCAGCCTGGTCTACAAGAGCTAGTTCCAGGACAGGCTCCAAAACCACAGAGAAACCCTGTCTCGAAAAACCAAGAAAAAAAAAAAAAACATCGGAATTATGTGTTTCTTTTTTTATGTGTGTGTATGAGATTTTGAGACAGGGTTTCTCTATGTAACAGTCCTGGCTCTCCAGGAACTGGCTTTGTAGATCCGGCTGGCCTTGAACTCATAGAGATCTGTCTGCCTCTGACTTCCAAGTGCTGGGATTAAAGGTGTGCACCACTGCCTGGCAAATTGTGTAAAGGAGATTTCCCTATTAATTTAAAAACTTACGTGTATACTTAGGCTTTTGGCTGTTGTTCATTTGTTTTAAGTGTAAAACAAATATGCACTGTGAGTTTTTTGTTTTTGATTTTTGCCATTAGTACAGTTAACTGGAAGGAATTCCTCAGGGGTAATTTTTCTCTAGTTAGTATAGTCTGTTACCTACTAGGAAATAGAGTGGGTCCTCTGCTGGAATGGACTTCTAAAAATGTTCTGAAAAGCTAGTGGTACATCCCTTTAACTCCAGCACTTAGGAGGGAGAGGCAGAGTCAGGCTGATCGTTGTGAGTGCAAAGCCAGCCTGGTCTACAGAGTGAGTTTCAGGGTAGCCAGGACAACATAGTGAGACCCTGTCTCCAAAAAAAAAAAAACCCAACCAGGTATGGACGTACGTGCCTTTGATGCTTTGATGGCTACTTGGGAGGTTGAGGATGGAGGGTCAGGAGTGGAAGTCTGGCCTTGGTTATTTTGTGAAGCTTGAAGCCAGGCTGGGCTGCGTTAGACACTGCCTCAAAAAGAGCAAGACCAAAAGGAATAGCTCTTGAGGATTGAATTGTCACCGGTGGTTCAAGTAGTTGCTTGAGCTCTTTCTAAAACTGACTGCTTTCGTGTGCCTTCTCTGAGAAATATTCTATTTAACAAGTATTTCTCACAAGGAGATGACTAAGTGTGCTGCTCTGTCTCCCAATCCTCCGCAGCTCATCAGAACAAGCTAGAAGAAATGATTAATGAACTGGCAGTGGCAATGACAGCGGTAAAGCATGAACAGGAGTACATGGAAGTCCGGGAGAGAATACACAGAGCCAGTAAGTTATTGACACAGCCTGTGACAGTGTCCCCTGGTGGTGGTGTTTCCCCCCTGCCTATAATTTTGCAAGTAGACCATACCAAGGCCTTGACTTTAGAATTACACTGAAGGATGGTCTGTGAGACGCATGTTTATTGAACCTTGTAAGCTGGTTTACTGCAGAGACATTACTCTATACCAGAAATGTTTGTATGTTTGCTTTTTTTTTTTTTTTTGAGACAAGGTCTCTATGTAACCCTGGCTGTCCTGGTTCTCAATATATAGACCAAGTTGGCCCAAATTCAAGAGAGGCACCTGCCTCTGCCTCTCATGTGTTAGGATTAACCATGCCCGGCTAGCATAAGTTTTTTTGTTTGTTTTTTTATTAACTTCCCAATCAGAGTTTTCCCCCTCCTTTCCCTCTCCCAGTCTCTCATCCCTCCCCTCATCCACTCCACTACTGTTTCTCTTCAGATAACTGTTGGCATTCCATTGATTTCAGCCATTCAGCCATACCTAATATATCAAATTGAGGTGAGACTCGGTATTTCCTCTTTTATTAAGGCTGGATGAGGCTATCTTGTAGAAGGAATGGGTCCCAAAAGTAGGCAAAAGAGTCAGAGACATCCCTGCTCTCACTGTTAGGAGTCTCACCCAAAGACCGAGTTACACAACTTTAGCATATATGCAGAGGGCTCTTGGGTTGTTGGTTCAGTCTGTGAGCCTCTATGAGCCTAGCGTAGTTGGTTCTGTGGGTTTTCTTATGGTGTCCTTCATACCACTGAGTTGTTCAATCCTTCCTCCCCTCTTCTTCAGGATCCCCTGAACTCCACCTAATGTTTGGCTGTAGGTCTCAGTATCTGTTTCCATTAGTTGCTGGGTAAAGCCTATCTGATGACAGTTGGACTAGGCACCAACTATGTATATAACAGAATATTATTAAGAACCATCTCATTGACCTTTTTAGATTTATTTAAACCAAGTGATGGTGGTGCTTGCCTTAATTCCCAGCACTCCAGAGGTAGAGAAAGGCAGACCTCTGAGTTCAATGCCAGCCTTGTCTACAGAGTGAGTTCCAGGACTGTTAGAGAAACCCTGTCTCGGAAGAAAAAAATGTCTTTTATTTTAAAATTATGTATATATCACATATCTCTTTGTGTGTGCCACATGCATGCATGCAGGTGTCCTCAGGCCAGGTGAGGTCATCAGATGCCTTGGAACTGGAGTTACAGGTGGCTGTGATCCACTTGATGTGGATGCTGGGAACCTAACTTGGTTCCTCTGGAAAAGTAGCAAGTGTTCCTGATTATCTAGTAATCTCTTCAACCCCCACAATGATGCTTTTTAAAAATAAGTTAAAGGAGATGCTGGTTATTATGGCATGTGCTTGGAATCCCAGCACCTGGGAAATGGAAGTAGGAAGGTCAGGAGTTTTAAGGGTATTTTCAGCTATAAAACCGGTTCTTGGCTGCCAGGCATGGTGGCACATGCCTTTAATCCCAGCACTTGGGAGGCAGAGGCAGTTGGATCTCTGTGAGTTTGAGATCAGCCTGGTCTACAAGAGCTAGTTCCAGGACAGGCTACAAAACTACAGAGAAACCCTGTCTCGGGGGAAAAAAAAAAACCAACCTGGTTCTTGGCTATTCTGGGCTATACATAAAGAGAATGTCTCAAATAAAATAATGAAAATTTGTTTTTGCACAAGTGAGAGACTTTGTGGCAGATAATATTCCTCAGATACACGTGTTTGTTTTTTTTTTTTGAGACAGTATTCTAAAGGTTTATTTATTTCTTATGTATACAACATTCTGCCTCCATGTATGCCCACATGCCAGAAGAGGGCACCAGATCTCATTACAGATGGTGGTGAGCCAACATGTGGTTTCTGGGAATCGAACTCAGGACCTCTGAAAGAGCAGCCAGTGCTCTTAACCACTGAGCCATCTCTCCAGCCCTTGAGACAGTATTCTAAACTGGCCTTGAACTCTGTTTTAACTGAGGGGCTGAGTCTGGCCTCGAACTAGTAGTGATCCACCACTCGCTTCCTGAAGGTAGGTAGAAATTACAGGATAGGTCCGTCATTTTTAAAGCACCCAGTCTTTGGCCTTGGTGGATGGAGTAATTGTCAGCCCTGGGTGGCATGTTACATGGAGGTGACGAGGTTCCTGTGCTGCTGTGCAGGCTGCTTAACGTTTGTTTGTTTATCTCCACAGTCAACGACAACACAAACAGCAGAGTGGTCCTTTGGTCCTTCTTCGAAGCTCTTGTTCTAGTTGCCATGACATTGGGACAGATCTACTACCTGAAGAGATTTTTTGAAGTCCGGAGGGTTGTTTAAAAGACCTTTTCCTGTTGATCCCAAATTCACAATTCACTTGTTTACCAAACACCTTGGTCATAATAATGTCATTAGTTTATACATTTTTGTTTTTGAATGTTCATGACTTATGTTTCTTTGTGATTAATTGGTGTGGGGTAACCTGTTTAGGAAAGTTAGAGTGGAAATTTGACATTTGATTGGCCTTTAATTCTTACTTGAATGCTGCCCCATTATACAAGTCCTTCCAAGAGTTCAGGGGCTATTAATGCTGTTTGGGACTATGGTCTTTATTATGCTTCCTTATACTTTGGTTTTTATAATAAAACGCAGTTTGTTCCGGAAGCACCCCACAGCCTGACTGCATTCTAGGGAGTCCCTCATCTGTAGTTCATTATCAGGTGTCCATTTTGTTGAGTCAATACATCAACAATAAACTGAAATTGACCCTTCTGGCCCCAGCTCAGGGCAGAGCAACCTGTGGTGGGGTATATTACCATGTGGGCACTCATACTTTCTTTTGAGGTTGCTTAAACTAAAGACTTATCCCAGCACTTTGCCCCAAACGTTTTATATTGAACCTTGGAATTCAATCACCTCTATTTGAATTGACACAAGCAGCCGAGAACGTAGAAGTCTGTTGGAGCCAGTTTTTTGGGTGTTGGGACAGACTGCTCTCCCTCTGTACCACATCTCTGTTCGTGTTGGCACTTAGGAGGAGCGAGTTTGCTCAAGTGGAAGCCTGCATTTCTCATGCCAAAGGGTTAAGCCTCTTGGATTGCTTGCAGTGATAGGCAGCCACTGTTGTCCTTTTAGTCAGTGGCCTTGAGGCCCTGGTTCAGTGTCAGCACTAGGGTTTTGTTTGTTCTCTGGTGTCTTTCTTTTTTGGCACATGTCAGTTTTGTTTATAGAAAATTAAGAGGCTTTCTCTCTGATGATGGGTTTCATGAACGTCGCTCTGCTTTGGGTGTGGGCGATCCAGGATTATGTGCTGACTGATGTCTGGTAGCTACCTGGAGATTTTAATTTTCCATTTTGGATCTTGCAAGGGGAAAACTACAAGTAATAAGTTTTGTAAAATTTATTTAAATTTGTTATAAGTTTTCATGTTCAGGACAAATAATTTTTCAACCCCGATGACTATCCTTGCAACAGTCTGTTGATAAGGTGACTCTTTCACCGTAGGGCAGCTGTTGCATGCCAATTTTTTTTGTGCGTGTGTGTGTGAAAACACTTCAGAATTGAATTAAAAGATATAAATTTAAAATTGGTTGTGTATCTAATATGCCCCAGGTTCAGTAAATAAACAATTCTTTTTAAAAACCGTCAATATCTGGTTTATATTAATGCTGGCTAACTTAAATTTTTTGATAAATACAAATTTTCTTTTTCTTCAAATGAGATATGCCTATGTTTGTAAACAACTATGTTATGTCATTTTTATTTCTGTAAACAAGGGTAGTGAACAAGAATACCAATTTAAGCCAGGTGTGCGATGGCCCATCGTTTTAATCCCAGCACTCTGGAGGATGGATCTTTTTGAGATTTGAGGTCACCATAGTCTATGTAGTTCAAGACAGCCCAGGGTACATAGAGCCTGTCTCAAAAGACAAAACAACCCCACCAAAACATAAAAATAACCATTTTATCCTGTGTGGTTTCTTTGGGTCAATGTTAACTATCTTGTGGGTGGAGAAAGTCACATTTTAATTAATTTTACTTAATCACGTAGTTTATGGATGTAGGGAGATAGAGTGGAAGGAGGTGAAGTGAGTTGCCCAAGGCTGTGGAAAAGGGAAGGTGGAGCCAGCTCTCCTGCAGAGATCCTTCCCAGCGTGGAGCTGCTAAGAAAGCAGGGAATAGCCAGTCACCAAATACTGCATCCCTTAAAGCTTGGCCTCCCGCCAAACTACATGGTTTGTCCTATAGATATCTCATAGCTGCCATTACCTTTCGTAGAATTAGTAAATAAACAGACTCGGAAGAGATTTTAAGCTCAGCAAAGTAGTAACTAGAGCCCCAAAAGCAAATAGCCTCGTGATTGCCTGATGCCCTTAACAGACTGCCTGTCCTCAGATTGCCCTCTATGGTAGTTGCAGAAGCTTTTTGAGGATGCGATGAGGACTTTTTGTTCATTTGTGCCTCAAGTGTGTTATCTATAGGCAACATTTAGTTACTCCCCGACTGCTGGTTTGCTTTGGGGGCTGTGAATCTACTAAATGCACACGCTAAAAGTCCGTGTAGGGGGAAAGGAAACAGGCGTTCTGCTGATCAGACTGAAGGGCGTGGGGAAGACAGCAGCGAAAGCTGACCCCAGGTCCGCAGGTGAGCTAAGCTTAAAGGCTCAGCTGGGAGACTTTGTCTGGCGCCCTCGCTTGGCCGCGAATTCCTGAGAGTCATGCTCCTTGTATGCTCACCGACGGGGCGGGGAGAACCCCAGCATCCTTTACTGGGACAAGTCGGGGCTCCTTCCTGTCACTTCCATCGCCCTACCGCCTCGCCTTCCCGTCCGCTGTGCTCCTCTTCCTAGCTTCTCGGGCACGTCCTCCGGAACGTCATCGCTGGAGTGCGGTTTTCCGCCCGGCGTTGGACCAGCCGGAAGCGGAAGTGCTTCTGGAGGTACTGTCTCGGTGTTCCGAGCAGTCTTACAGGGAAGGCCAGGGAAAGCGATATGGAACACGTGACGGAGGGTGCCTGGGAGTCGCTGCAGGTGCCGCTGCATCCTCGGGTGCTGGGCGCACTGCGCGAGTTGGGCTTCCCGCACATGACGCCGGTGCAGGTATCGGGCCCACTGGGAAGCGAGGCCGAGCGGTCAGCCTCTCGAATGCAGCCTCGGGGATGGGGCAGTGCCACGCGTGTTCACGATACCCACTCCGGGGTCTCAGAGCTTTGTGCCTGTCCTGCCTGCTCTAGCGACTTCGGAGAGTGGCTCCTTCTATGCCCTTTCCGTCTGAGAAATTACAGTCACTTTCTTCATAGCATTGTGGGGACTAAATAATCCAGGTGGGCGCCCGGTGACTGTGACCTGTGGTTATTATTGGGGAAACAGAGTCTCCCTTGCTCTATTTATCAAAACAAGCAATCAAGCAAACAACCAAAAGCTCGCCAACCATTTATGAAGGACCTGGAATGTATCTGGGTCTCATTTAGGCTCTGGATACTTGACAGTCTTGGTACCTACTCGTGGGCCTTATTTTTAGAGGGGGTGTTAGAGGAAGAAGTATAGGAAGGAGGTAATTTATCTTGTGCTGAGCGTTATGAAGGAACTGAGATAGACTCGTGCGGTGAAGTGAGGCTGAAGGCCTCTGAGGGAGTTGTCATTCTGAGACCTGGATAATCAGGGAGGGGAGGGGCTGGCTTCGGGTGACTGGGGGAAGCTGATTGCCAGAGAGAGAGAATACCAGTGCAAATGTCCGGGGGCTGGTGGCAAATCCTATGCTTCCAGGGTTCTCAGTGGTTGAGAGCACTTGCTGCTCTTGCAGAGGACCAGGGTTGAGTACCCATCACCCACAGTGGATAGGCTGACCACTGAATATAACTACAGTTCCAGGAGATCCAACACTCTTTTCTTGCCTTCCTGCATACCTCTATGATTGTAGCCTACATACAGATAAGTAAAAATAAATTTAAAATGTCCAATGTTTCCAGCTCTTTCCTAGTCCAAGAAGGAACAATGCGAGTGTTAGGACTTGAATCCAGGACTCTTGCCACACTTGTCCTTATAGATAACTCACAGTGTTACTCTTGGTTGCTTGGTTGGTTTTGAGACCGTTCTACCTGCCCCTCTCTCCTGAGTACTGGGATTAGAGGCGTGTGCCACTACACCTGGCTACAACTTGTCCCGTTTAATTCAACCCTTTGTGGTGACTGTTTACTCGGGATCCCCGTGGGGCGGGCTCCAGTTTGACCTCAGTCACCCCCGTGTCCCTAGGACTTGGGTCTCTGTTGTTTGGCTGTGGTGTTGTGTAAACAGCTGTTGTCATCTCTCCCTGCAGTCGGCCACCATCCCTCTGTTCATGAAAAACAAAGATGTCGCTGCGGAGGCTGTGAGTATCTCATCAACAGTCCGTCCCTGGTCCTCCTAGCCAAGCGGGAAGCAAGGCAAAACCTTTGTCCCTTTGCAGGTGACAGGTAGTGGGAAAACCCTGGCCTTTGTCATCCCCATTGTGGAGATTCTTCTGAGAAGGGAGGAGAAGTTAAAGAAGAGCCAGGTGAGGAGGGTTGACTGACTGTCCTGGAGGCAGGACGGTTTAGGCCTGAGCTGAATCCTGTTTGGTATCTGAGGAGTCTATTTTGAATTTACCTGCTTGTTAAACCGAAGTCGATGCTGGGTTGCTCTCATGACACTTGGGTACTTTCTTGGTCACCTGTGGGTATGGGTAGAAATGCCATTTTCGCTCTCATACTGTAAGCAGGTATCCTTATGAGCAATCTGTTAGTTGTGTTTGTTTGTCTGTTTTAATCCTCTCTTAGCTGAAGACCCAACCTAGGACCTTGTATTTACTAGGCAAGTGCTCTACTATTGAGCTATATCCATAGCTCCTCATTTTTGTGGCTTTTGTTGTGATTTTGTTGTTTAAAATACCCTCAGTGGGGGCTCAATGGACAAGAGTACTGGTTGCTTTTGCAGAAGACCTGGGTTTGTTTCTCAGGATCTCCCGAGGGTTTTCAATCTCTGTACCTCTAGTTATAAGGGATCTGGTGCCCTCTTCTGCCTGGGATGCACAGGATGTGTGTCCATGCTTGCAGGCAGAACCTCATGTGCATAAATACAATCTTAAAAAAAAAAGCGTTCGGGGCTGGAGAGATGGCTCAGCGGTTAAGAGCACTGACTGCTCTTCCAGAGGACCCGGGTTCGATTCCCAGCACCCACATGGCAGCTCACAACTGTCTGAAAATGTAGTTCCACGAGATCTGACACCCTCAGACCAACGAACATAATAAAGTTAAATAAATAAATAAAAAATAAAATGTTTAAAAAAAAAAGCGTTCAATATTGGCTGGACTTAGTATTGGATGCCTTTAATCCCAGCCGTGGGAGGCAGAAGCAGGTGACTCTCTGTGAATATGAAGTTTATCTAAGAAATGTGAGGAATAAACAGTCAGAGGAACATGGAAGCAGCTGAGCTAGGGCTACACAGAGAGTATTAATTACCTTCCTGTTGCTGTGACAAATACCATGGACAAGGCGACTTATAAAAGGAAGGGTTTGTCGGGCGGCGGTGCACACCTTTAATCCCAGCACTCGGGAGGCAGTCAGGTGGATCTCTGTGAGTTCGAGTTCAGCCTGGTCCACAGGCACCAAAGCTACAGAGAAGCCCTGTCTTTGGAGAGTGCCCAGTGCCATCCCTGAGCCCTATGTTGGTTATATTTTTGTTTTGTGGTGCTGGGCTTTGTTTATGGTAGGCAAGTGCCTACCACTGAGCCACCCTTCACAGCTCTTGATGTGGTGATGTGTGATATGCCCTGGGACTGCTGAAAAGTCCTAGGAATTGTCTGAGGATACACGATGCAGCACTAATGCGATCCCACCCGGAACCTATGTACTGCTGACCCTGTGGTTCCCCTCCGTGCGGGCAGGTCGGAGCCATCATCATCACTCCCACTCGGGAGCTGGCCATTCAGATTGACGAGGTCCTTTCGCACTTCACAAAGCACTTCCCGCAGTTCAGGTGATTGGGTGCAGGGCCCTCGAGATGGCACTTGAGGTGATGGGTGTGGAGAATCCCTATTGGCCTGGGTTGTTATTTTGCCTGACTTTGCTCCAAGTCCCATTTCTTGCTTCAGTCAGATCTTGTGGATTGGAGGCCGGAACCCTGGAGAAGATGTGGAGAGGTTCAAGCAGCATGGGTGAGCCTGCAAGTTCCTGCTCCTGCCTCTGTGCTCTTGGCTCCTAGGAAGTACCTTGGGGTCCTCCAGAGGGTGTTTCCTCCCTGCCCACCTCCTGGTTCCCTTGTGAACACTTCGTAGTCTCCGGTTGTCCTGGGAGTCGGGGCAGGTTATGTAAACAACCTGGGTGTGAACGCCTGGTGCCCCTAGTATTCACCTGTTGCTGAGCATTGCCTGGCAAGGCTGGTTCCTTGCTGCCAGCTTGTGAAGACTGTAGAGGGTGGAATTCCATACGTGTGTGTCTCAGATTTTTTTAGCAGTTGCTTACAGTCTACATTGTGTGAAAACATAAGCAGCTGGTTTGCTTGGTCACATCTGGCTTTCAGCCTGTTGGTCTAACTCTCTCCCCTCCTCTTCCTTCCCTTTCTTTTTTATTCTCCCCTCCCCTTCCCCTTCTTTTTTCTTCCTTCCCCTCTCCTTTTCTCTCTTTTCTCCCCTCTCCCCTCTGTCTCTCCCTCGCTCTCTTTCCCAGTTTGTTTTTGCTGGGATTTGAACTGCGGGTCTCATGCATACCAGACGAGTATTTTGCCATGAGTCACCCTTACCCCATCTGTCTCCCTCCTATAGTTGTGTTTTCTGTTGCTTTAGGTCAGAGGTCGGCCTGAGTTGTGTGGGCCATGTGGTGTCGTGTTGCAGTTTCTCTGCTGCAATAGAGAGAGATGGCAGAGATAGTCTACAGTAGGGGTAGAGTGTGGCTGTGTGCCAGCAACATGCTTGCTAACACAGGTGGCCAGTGTGGCCAGTGGGCTGGACCTTGCCCATCCTGCCTGAATCCTGGCCTATAACCAGATCCTCCTCTTTCCCAGCCCTTGTGTCTACCGTGCAGCCATCATTCTCCCTGGCATGGAGATGGCCTTGCAGGGTGGGGACTTGGTATCTCGGTAACTGTTCCTGAGATCCAGAGCACACGCTAAATGGGAGCTTTCTTTCCAAAGTGGGAACATCATTGTGGCAACCCCAGGCCGCCTGGAGGACATGTTCCGGAGGAAGGCTGAGGGTCTGGACCTGGCCAGCTGTGTGAGAAGCTTGGATGTCCTGGTGCTGGATGAGGCAGACAGACTTCTTGACATGGGCTTTGAAGCAAGGTACTAGAATGGGGGCTTCCTGGAGGGGGTGAAGCTGGTAGGAGGTGCAGTGGGACTTTTGTCAAACCTCAGGTGGCTCGACCCTCTGCTTCTATCACAGGGTTTAGTCCCAGTTCTTTTATTTTTAAAAGATGAGTCTGTGTATTGTGCTAAAGTTTGAAATAAAGTTTCACTCTGTATCCCAGAATGGCTTTGAATTCGGGATCTTTGGAGTCCTGTATGTCAGCAGCACAGACACAGGCCACTATGCTGGCTAGTTTCAGTTTTTCTGTTTGTGATGTTATGTTTTTGTTCATGGTTTCTCTAATATGATATCAGGTTTTAGGATGATTCATGTATGTAGCTTGTCATGTAGTCCATGCCAATTACTATACACTTGTATTAGAGAGACCTTGATGATGTAAAGGAGGAACAGAAATTATAATGCTTTTATCTCCCAACGGTGTGGCTTGTGTCCGCATGCTATCCCTACTTTTCTTTTCTTTTCTTTTCTTTCTTTTTTTTTTGTTTGTTTTGTTTTGGTTTAGTTTTTTCAGACAGGGATTTTCTATGTAGCTCTGGCTATCCTAGAACTTGCTCTATAGACCACGTTGGCCACTGTGCCCAGCTGCCATCTGGACTTTTAATATTTGATTCATTTTGTGCAGGATCTTACTGGGAAGCCCAGGCTATTCTAGAACTTAGCTCTGAAGCCTAGGTTGGCCTTGGACTTGTCAGTCCTTTAGCCTCTGCCTCTTCGTCTGTGCCCAGCTCCTCTGCTTTAATTTGTGTGTGTGTGTGTGTGTGTGTGTGTGTTTATGTATGTATGTATTGTTTCCAGCATAAACACCATCCTGGAGTTCTTGCCAAAGCAGAGGAGAACAGGCCTTTTCTCAGCCACGCAGACACAGGAAGTGGAGAACTTGGTGCGAGCGGGCCTCCGGAACCCTGTCCGAATCTCTGTGAAGGAGAAAGGCGTGGCAGCCAGCAGTACCCAGAAGACCCCATCCCGCCTGGAGAACCATTACATGGTGAGTGTGGGGCCTGTAGCTTTGTCCTGTGCCTCCACTATCCACAGAGATGGGGCTGGCTTGAGACCAGAGGGTCACATTGTGTGGACTATGAGCTCTTGTCAGACGGCAGCTGCCTGAGGGATGTTGGCATTTATGGGCTAGCCTTTCCTTAAACTGGGCTGGGGAAGGGAGGAGGCTCATCTTCCCATGAGTGGCAGGGCTTACTACTCGGTACAGAGCAGGAGCCAAGACTCGGAGGGGGTCCCAGCTTCGTCCTTCATAGGGCCGTTGGATAGTGAGTCAACCCCCACAGCTGCTCAGGATGGGAAGAGTCAGGAAACACTGAGGACACACAGTGGCCACCCTCTCTGTCTTTTAGATGACGGTTAGACGTGTCTTAGCACAACTTTTTGTCTGTTCATGCTTCTCTGTGCAACTGCCCTGGCTGTTCTGGAGCTTACTTTGTAGACAGGCTGGCATGTGCCAGCACTTCCCAGCTAAGAGTTTTTGTTTGTTTGTTTGTTTGTTTGTTTTTTAAGACAAGGTTTCTCTCTCTGACAGTCCCGGCTGTCCTGGAACTTGCTCTGTAGACCAGGCTGTCCTCGAACTCACAGAGATCCGCTGCCTCTGCCTCCCAAATGCTGGGATTAAAGGCGTGCACCTCACTGTGTATTTGAGAATGGCCTTGAACTCCTTATCCTCTGTCTCCCTGGCAGTACAGACCTGAATTACTGTGCCCCATGAGACCAGTTTGTAACCTGCAGTGTTAGTTTTACAAAATCCAGGAAAACTCATTCACTGGGACTGAATGTTTCTGGTTGGGGCCTGGATTGGGCACTTGACTGGGAAGGGGGTGGAGCCTGTCTCCGTGGCAGTGCTTCAGGTAGTCGCGTACACTCATTTCCTGAGGCTGTGCTTGTCTTACTGTGGCAGCTTTGGAACAACGTGGCCTTAGATTCAAGCTTGGAGGTAACGCGTGTTCTTCGTTTCACTTGGACCCACTGCTGCCTGGGCAAGGGAGCTGGTACCGCAGCTGGCCCAGGCCTGGCTGTCTGGTGGTTCCTGGGAACAGTTGCCTGATATAGCAGTGCTTTCCAGTCACAGTTTTATGACATAAAGTGAACACTGGCAGCAGCACGTGATCAAGCTTCTCTGAGTTGGGCAGGCTGGGATGTCTATCTTGTTCTCTCTGAGCTGGGCAGGCTAGGATGTTGTTCTCTGTGAGCCGGGCAGGCTAGGATGTCTGTCTTGTTCTCTCTGAGCTGGGCAGGTTGAAGAAGAATGTCTGTCTTGTTCCCTGTGAGCCGGGCAGGCTAGGATGTCTGTCTTGTTCTCTCTGAGCTGGGCAGACTGACTTTGGCCCAGTGGGTGAAGGCACTGATTTCAATGTGGGTACAACATGGCAGATGGAGAGCTGACTCCTGCCAGCTACCCTCAACCTCTGTGCATGTGCCTCTCCAAATAAATCAGCATATTAAAATGAATAAGTGAAGGCTGTGCTGGGTGTGGTGGTGCATACATTATTGTAATCCTAGTCCTCAGGAGGTGAAGGCAGGAGAACCAGGAGTTCAAGGCCAACCTTTGCTACAAGAGTTTGAGGTCACTTTGGGCTATGTGAGACCTTGTCCCCCTAAAAAAATAGAGAGGAAGAAAGAAAAGGCTGGAACTGAAAACAGTTATGGGATTATTTTTGCAAATATGTGACTTTCCCCCTCCTTGTAGATATGTAAGGCAGATGAGAAATTCAATCAGCTGGTCCATTTCCTTCGGAACCATCAGCAGGAGAAGCACCTGGTCTTTTTCAGGTAGGCTCCAGGTCAGGTTTGGGATGGCGGGGAGCACAGGGGGCTCTCGGGCTGTGTGCACCTGGTGACTAGAGCCCAGCTTCTGTGGCTCCCGCTGCGGTGATGTCCAGAAGCAGCAGCTCCTGCGTCTGCCTTGTGGGCTTAGCGGTGTCAAGGCTGATGTTCCCACACCTGCCTCCACCTTGCCTTTCTTTCATCCTTTTGGTTTTTAAAGACAGGGTTTTTCTGTGAAACAGTCTGAACTGTCCTGAAACTCACTTTGTGTAGTCCAGGCTAGCCTTGAATTCAGAGATCCGCCTGCCTCTGCCTCCTGAGTTCAGGACCGTTCTTTTATCTTGAGAGTCATCTTGTGGCTTCCAGTTGACCACTGTACGTGTGGTCTTGTCACGTCTTCACCGAGGCAGAGAGTAGGGGGAAGAAGGCAATGCTCCTGCCTCCACCCTTTTCACTTAGACTGAGCTGAATGCTGCTCTGAGAAGCAGGGTCAGAGAGATGGTTGGAGCAGCTTGCTCAGCCACAGAGTGTCCTGTTACAACGAGGAAGATAGGAACAGGTGCCTGCTTGGGTGGGCTTGGGCTGTTTTTGTTTGTTTGTTTTATTTTAGTCAGGGATTCACTGGCTAGCCTGGAACTAGGCATACAGACCAGACTGGTCTCAAACTCAGAGATCCACTTCTTTCTGCCCCTCCAGTGCTGGGATAAAAGGTATATGCCAACATGGCTTCTCTTTTTCCTCTCTAACCTGTTTTGACTTTTGTACAATGAAATGCATCAGATTGGTTCCAGGCTTGGTCTCTGCTACAACCCCAGTACTTGGGAGGCCAAGCAGAAAGACAGGAAATTCAAATCCCATCTGGTCCTGATGACAGCATGGGGGAAGTAGATCCTGCTTACTGGGCCATTGCTAGACAGCAGGACCCATGTCAGGGTTTGTACTGGCGTTTGAGGGGTTGGATGGATGGTGGCGAGAAGTGAGGGGCTCCTTCGGCAGGTCTGTACCCACTGCCCTTCTCTGCATCCTTCCCCAGTCCCTGGACCCCAGTGGTCGGTGACTGAGCGCTTTCCCTTCTGACAGCACGTGCGCGTGTGTGGAGTACTATGGGAAGGCCCTGGAGGCGCTGCTCAAGAGAGCCAAGATCCTGTGCATCCACGGGAAGATGAAGTACAAGCGCAATAAGATCTTCATGGAGTTCCGCAAGCTGCAGAGGTCAGTGGGGACCGGTGTCCTCAGTGGCACGGCAGGGCAGGTCAGGGCAGGTCACCAGACTCCTCAGGTCCTGCACTTGCCCCTTCTTCCTCTGCCCTCCTGGAGCCTTTTTGGTTTCTACTCAGTTATTACATCTTTGAAGGCACCCAAAGCCTGCTTTGGACCCTCACCCCATATACTAAGCTGGGGTCTCCAAGTTTTTACTAGATTTCTCTACTCCATCACAGGCCTGTGTGTTCACTGCTGTGTCTCCCAGGGCTTGGCACACTGGAGGTTTGAGGACCTATTTGCCCCCGGGTAAATAAGAGCAAACACAGTCTTTTTGGGACAGATCCTGCTATGGGCTATAGAGCGCTGGCTAGACAGAGGAGACTTGGGGTGTCTTGATGAGCACAGCTCTTCCTGTTTTTCCTAAGCATTGCATGGCTCCTTTCAAGCAGCAACAAGAACACAGCGGCACCCTGCTGTTGTCCTAGTCACAGGCTAAAGATGTTACTTGTTTTCTAGTGGCTGCTGAGGGCTGGCCCTCTACAATTTTATTTCTCAAGTAGAAATTCATGAATTAAGAAAATTTAAACCAGAGGTTAGAGTGTTGGCTCAGTGGTTAAGAACATTGGTTGTTCTTCCAAAGGACCCAGGTTCAATTCCCAGCACCCACATGGGCAGCTCACAACTATCTGTAACTCCAAGATCTGACACCGTCACACAGACATACATGCAGGCAAATAAAAATTTTAAAAAATTAAGCCAACTGTGGCAGTACATGTTTGTAACCCCAGTGTGTGGGAGATTGAAAGAGGAATGAAATTCAAGGCTACCCTGTACTACAGAGGGATGGACCAGAGGACCTTGTCTCAAAAGGGAAATAGGGTCCGGGTGAGGCTCAGTGGTTGGCAGTGCACCTGTTAGCACGCAGAGGCCCTGGCTCCACCCTAGTACTGGCTAGAAAGAATCGTTATCTGTCTCTCCCACTCTTCGTGTGTGTCTGTGTGTCCATGACATTTTATTATTGATTATGTGTGATGTGTGTAGATTTATGCATGTGAATCCAGGTGCCCCTGGATCCCAGAAGAGAACATCAGATCCCCCAGAACTGGAGTTAACAGTGGGTGTGAGCTGCCTGTCATGGGTGCTGAGCCATCTCTGCAGCCTCCTCTACTCCCCACTTTTGTTGGCAGTTTATAAAGTCTGGGAAGATTGTAGGAGGAAGAAAAAAGAAATCAAAGTATTCTATTAAAGAAAGTAGCTGTTTGTGTGAGAGACTCCAGAGCCCTGCACTGCTGTCGCTGGGGTTTGAACACATGATGGCTAGGGGATGGCCAGGCTCATGTGCTGCTCTCATTGCTAGTGGGATCCTGGTGTGCACGGATGTGATGGCCCGGGGAATCGATATTCCTGAAGTTAACTGGGTTTTACAGTACGACCCTCCCAGCAATGCCAGGTACGTGAGGTGTTCCTCTGTCTGGGGACTGAGCCGAGGGGGACAGGAACCTGGAGGGGTGAATGTGCAGTGAAATTTTAAACATCTTAATTTTTTTTTTTTTTTTGAGACAAGAGTCTTGTAGCCAGAGATGGTCTTGAACTTCTGATGGTCCTGCCGTTACCTCTTGAGTGTTGGGGTTACAGGCATGTACTACCACATCTGGCTTAGTTTTGTTTTTGTTTGTTTTTTGAGACAGGGTTTCTCTGTGGTTTTGGAGCCTGTCCTGGAACTAGCTCTTGTAGACCAGGCTGGTCTCGAACTCACAGAGATCCGCCTGTCTCTGCCTTCCGAGTGCTAGGATTAAAGGCGTGCGCCACCACCGCCCGGTTTCTGGCTTAGTTTTGAAATCAAAGCCCAGCTCCTGTAACATTCAATTCCAGAAGTAGGCAAGTGGCCAAATAGCTTTGGTGTGTTCTAGCAATCACGTTCAGACAGTCAGGTGTGGTGACTCCTGCTTATAATAGTGGTATTTAGGGGGCTAAGGATGGAAGTCGAGAGTTTATCAGCTTGAGCTGCCGAGTTGAGATGCTGTCTGTAAAGTGGTGTGTATGTAGAGGATAAATAAAATGAAAGTGCAAATTACAGAGTATTGAAAAGAGCACCAGGCTACTCTAAACTGCGTCTCTCCGAGAGCGCGGACACTCCCCACACACTTGTCTCTTGTTTAGTTTTTGCTTTTCCCTTTTAGTTTTTTTTTCCCTTTTTTTGTTTTTATTTATTTATTTATTTATTAAAGATTTCTGCCTCCTCCCCGCCACTGCCTCCCATTTCCCTCCCCCTCCCCCGATCAAGTCCCCCTCCCTCGTCAGCCCAAAGAGCAATCAGGGTTCTCTGCCCTGTGGGAAGTCCAAGGACCACCCACCTCCATCCAGGACTAGTAAGGTGAGCATCCAAACTGCCTAGGCTCCCACAAAGCCAGTACATGCAGTAGGATCAAAAACCCATTGCCATTGTTCTTGAGTTCTCAGCAGTCCTCATTGTCCGCTATTTTCAGCGAGTCTGGTTTTATCCCATGAGTTTTCAGACCCGGGCCAGCTGGCCTTGGTGAGTTCCCAATAGAACATCCCCATTGTCTCAATGTGTGGGTGTACCCCTCACGGTCCTGAGTTCCTTACTCGTGCTCTCTCTCCTTCTGCTCCTGATTTGGACCTTGAGATTTCAGTCCGGTGCTCCAATGTGGGTCTCTGTCTCTGACTCCTTTCATCGCCTGATGGTTAATATTCAGGAGGTTGCCTATATGTTTTTCTTTGGGTTCACCTTATTTAGCTTCTCTAGGATCACGAATTATAGGCTCAATGTCCTTTATTTATGGCTAGAAACCAAATATGAGTGAGTACATCCCATGTTCCTCTTTTTGGGTCTGACTTACCTCACTCAGGATAGTGTTTTCTATTTCTGTCCATTTGTATGCAACATTCAAGAAGTCATTGTTTTTTACTGCTGAATAGTACTCTAATATGTATATATTCCACACTTTCTTCATCCATTCTTCCATTGAAGGGCATCTCGGTTGTTTCCAGGTTCTGGCTATTACAAACAATGCTGCTATGAACATAGTTGCGCATGTACTTTTGTTGTATGATAGGGCATCTCTTGGGTATATTCCCAAGAGTGGTATTCCTGGGTCCAGTGGTAGGTTGATCCCGAATTTCCTGAGAAACCACCACACTGCTTTCCAAAGTGGTTGCACAAGTTTGCATTCCCACCAGCAATGGATGAGTGTACCCCTTTCTCCACAACCTCTCCAGCAAAGGCTATCATTGGTGTTTTTTATTTTAGCCATTCTGACAGGTGTAAGATGGTATCTTAAAGTTGTCTTGATTTGCATTTTCCTGATCGCTAAGGAAGTTGAGCATGATCTTAAGTGTCTTTTGGCCATTTGAACTTCTTCTGTTGAGAATTCTCTGTTCAGCTCAGTGCCCCATTTTATAATTGGGTTGATTAGCCTTTTACGGTCTAGTTTCTTGAGTTCTTTATATATTTTGGAGATCAGACCTTTGTCAGTTGCGGGGTTGGTGAAGATCTTCTCCCAGTCAGTGGGTTGCCTTTTTGTCTTAGTGACAGTGTCCTCTGCTTTACAGAAGCTTCTCAGTCTCAGGAGGTCCCATTTATTCAATGATGCTCTTAGTGACTGTGCTACTGGGGTTATACATAGGAAGTGGTCTCCTGTGCCCATGTGCTGTAGAGTACTTCCCACTTTCTCTTCTATCAGGTTTAGTGTGTTCGGACTGATACTGAGGTCTTTAATCCATCTGGACTTGAGTTTTGTGCATGGTGATAGATATGGATCTATTTTCATTCTTCTACAGATTGACATCCAGTTTTGCCAGCACAATTTGTTGAAGATGCTCTCTTTTTTCCATTGTATACTTTTAGCTCCTTTATCGAAAATCAGGTGTTCATAGGTTTGTGAGTTAAAGTCAGGGTCTTCTATTAGATTCCATTGGTCAACTTCTCTGTTTTTATGCCATAGTTTTGGTTTTTGAAGACAGGGTTTCTCTGTAGCCCTGGAACTCGTTGCCGCCCCATGTAGATCCGCCTGCCTCTGCCTTAGGAGTGCTAGGACTAGAGGCCTGCACTGCCATGCTGTTTTCCTCACGTGCTTTCGAAATGTCAGAGCTGCGTTCAAATTCAAGTGATGTTTTCCTGACATCTGTCATTCCAGGGCCCTTTCTCTTTAGGCTTTTTCTTGCTTGTCAGTTTTGCCCTGTGACTGCTGTGTGATCTGAGGAAGCCCAGCTTTGGTCGGGTGTCCTCAGAGCCAGCAGACCATCCCTTGGATCCTGTCTGCAGCGTCTGTTTCTCTGCACCTCCTCTATACTCACTATGCAGCACTGTGTCGTGCGACAGCTGCATGGCTGAATCCTGACTGCTCACTGCTACCCTGGGGTACTGCCCCACCCTGTCCCCTTAGTGCCTTCGTGCATCGCTGTGGACGCACAGCCCGGATAGGCCACGGTGGCAGCGCTCTGGTGTTCCTACTGCCGATGGAGGAGGCATACATCAACTTCCTGGCCATTAACCAGAAAGTAAGAGGCACACTGGCCTGGTAGCTGGTGGTTAGCAACTGAGAGGAGGTTAGCAACTCACCTGGGCTGGGTTGGGAGGTATTGGCCAGCATCATGACTTGGGAACACTTCCTATTGTTGCCTGCCATCTTACTAGTCGGGATTGTTATGTGCAATGCCATTTTCAAACTTAAAAAAAAAAGAGCTCCAAACTCCTATTTGACTAAGGAATGTGTTTGGGCTGGATTTGGCCCCTGGTTCTTGGTGTACTGTGCTGTCCTTGATTTATTAGCTCTGGAAGGTACTGGGTTGGAGGGACTACAGGGAAGGTGAGATGGTGGTCTCTGTAGTGTCCCCTGCAGGAGATGAGCCTCCAGAGAAACACAGTAGACCTTCTGCCAAAGCTCCGGGCCATGGCCATGGCCGACAGGGCAGTGTTCGAGAAGGGCATGAAAGCCTTCGTGTCCTTCGTCCAGGCTTATGCAAAGCACGAGTGTAGCCTCATCTTCAGGCTGAAGGGTAAGCAGGTGCTTTGCCTTTTTGGGGTGGGGGACAACAGGGTCTTTCTGTAGCCCTGCCGGTTCCTGCTGTGGAGACCAGGCTGGCCTCAAACTCAGAGATCTTACCTCTGCCTGCCAAGTACTGGGATTAAAGCTGGGTGCCACCATGTCTGACATAATCATATTTCTTCTTCTCTGAGTCTTTGGGTGACAAGGGTTGCTTTGTCTTAATGAAATATGTGGCATGTTAGGTTAGTGTTTATAAAAATAAAAAAGAAAGTCCTATATAGGACTCTGAGTAGAGGCAAAATAAACTGCCATTTCCATCTTGAAAAATGTTTCTTAAAAATTCTAATTAAATTTATTACGTCATTTAATTAAGCAACATCATGAGGAACCCGTGCCCAGCTGTGATGTCTTGCAGTGCTAACTCTAAGCTCTTATCTGTTAGATCTCGACTTTGCGAGCCTTGCTCGAGGGTTTGCCCTGTTAAGGATGCCCAGGATGCCAGAACTGAGGGGGAAGCAGTTTCCAGATTTTGTGCCCGCAGACATCGATACTGACATGATTCCATTTAAAGATAAAATTAGAGAAAAACAGAGGCAGAAACTTTTGGAGCAAAAAAGAAAAGAGAGGACAGAAAATGAAGGGAGAAGAAAGTTCATCAAAAATAAAGCTTGGTCGAAGCAGAAGGCCAAGAAGGAGAGGAAGAAGAAGATGAATGCAAAGAGGAAAAAGGATGAGGTAAAGTGTGATGCTCTTTGTTCCTTAGCCTCCTCCTTAGAACCCCGACATTCAGTGTGTGAGGACGCCGCACTCCCCCGTTCATTTTGGAGCCTCTGGTGTTGACCCTGGCTCCTGTAGGCCCAACAGGATCTGCTGCTTTCTAGAGCCGCAGCTAATAGCCTTGTTGCTTCTGCACTCAGGGTTCGGATATCGATGACGAGGACATGCAGGAACTCCTTAATGATACAAGGCTCTTGAAAAAATTTAAGAAAGGTAAGATCACAGAAGAAGAATTTGAGAAGGGGTTGCTGACAAGCACCAAAAGAACAGTCCCGCTGACAGACTTAGGGGTCTCAGACTTGGAAGAGGATGGCTGACCTCAGCCTCAGGTGAAGGCTGTTACACCACTGGCCCACACTGGCCTACACTCCTGCCCTTCCCGGAAGACTGTTCTGGAAAGCTGTCTGCGCTGACAGGGAAACACCAAAGAACTGGACACCCACGAGCACTACAGTCCTGCCAGAGTCTCACAGAACTCATTATTTGAGTGGAAATTTGTACTTCATAACAGATGTCAGTATTGGTTTTGATTAAGTGTACTTTTTCTGGTGTAATTTTGTACTTTATTACAGACTTGAAAATATTTTCATATATGTGAAATATTTTATATGTATATATGAATATATACAAAATATATTTTCATATATATACTTATTTTAAATTATTACCATTTAAAAACAGATACTGTAGCACACTTGATTTTAGGCCTTGTAAAATTTCTAAGTATTCCCAGTCATATGACCTCTCCTCCCCCCCTCCCGCCCAAATGTTGCATGTCCTGTGCAGGCCTGTCTGGAGCACCTGCAGATGTACACGTGGCTATGCCCAGTGGGTTCTGGGTTCTTTCTCTCCTTTGCAATAGGGGCTACACTATGTAGTCCAGGATGCTTTCAGAACGATCCTCCTGCCTCAGGCTCTGTGTGCTGGGGTCACAGGCTGTGCCACCACACCCCGACTAGAGTGAGGACATTTTCGAATTGACTGTGGTGCTTATTTTATTGGCAGATAGGTGTAAGCCAGGGATGGAATTCTGTCCTGAGACAGTGCTGTTAGGCCGTTTGTGGTGTTCCGCCCAATTGTGCTTACAGTTTCTGGCCTTGGTCTCCTGGTACTGATGCAATACCATATCCAAATCGTTCATATAATTTATTAAAAAAGGTCCTGATCTGTTCCCATGTTTAATTTACAAAAGCTGTTGGGGACTTAATCATGTTTAAAGTAAACTACTTTATAGACAGGTTAGGTCCAGACATTCTGTAAGCAGCATCCTGGGAAGGCATTGGTGTTTTTCCTGACTGGCCTGACCCTGCTGAGGAGACAGAGCCCTGAAGCCAGATGCAGCCAGCAGTGTTTCCTGCCTTGTTTGTAAGGCACCCCATGATGTATTCTCAGTGGCCGTCACTGCAGAGCGGCCTGCGTTACTTTCACTGCCCCCTCGTGTGCTCTCCTTCCTTGGGTTTGCAGCCAGTCACCTAACTTGTACTTCCACAGACAGTGAGTTTCTGAAAACCCGGAAGGATGCTTGGTTCTAGAACTGGGAACAGGTTTCAGATGTGGCAGGGCTGAGTTGAAAGGATTCTCCAGGACTTCCGACGTCAACTGGTTCAGTTTGGAGCCGGCTGGCTCACCCTGCACACGTGCTCCCTGCAAGCTGGCAGGAGGGACTCTGCTCACAGGTACAGCTTGATGAGCTCATCACTTACAGCAGACGGCGTCAGCACGCCCAGGTCTGTAAACAGCAGGGTGATCAAGGACGGGGAAGTATAGTCCACCCACGGGTGTTCCTCTTTGAGGTCCTGCCCAGTCTGCACAGACTTGAGAGTGTCTGCCTTGTACTGAGGAGGGAAGAACTTGTATTAGTTGGGTTGGCCTCGTATCCAGGCTTTCTACTGCTGAGGCTGTAGTTTGAGCGCTAAGTGAGCTCACATCAGGACTGCCCCCATGTCAGGAAACTGGCTGTGTGGCAGGCTGGGAGGGACAGTACTCACAGGATCCCATCCCATCCCAGATAAGCAAATCTTCAATGGAAGGGCCTGGCCAAGGTCACATTTTATAAAAGCATAGGTGGGAATGAAGAGTTGATTCTAAGGCTGAGGTTCCACCAGTCACACAGTATGGTGCTATTTCATTTGTATTTTAATAAATAAAGCTTGCCTGAAGATTAGAGAGTAAAACAGCCACCTTACAGAACAGGCTGTTTTAATCCCAGTAGCCACACTAGTTTGCCATAGAAACCAGGTGGTAGTGGTGCATGCCTTTGATCCCAGCCCTAGAGAGGAACATAAGACTGGAGGAGACAGCTCTCACAGTTTCATTCTGAGATTCCTGGAGGCAGGATCATCATTTCAGACTGAGGTAGAGGTAAGAGCCAGTGACTTGCTGTTTTGCTTTTCTGACCTTCAGGTTGAACCCCAATTTCTGTCTCAGGGTTTTTATTAATTGTGCTACAAAACAGCTTCTCTGCTATGTAAATAAACAAGATGGAGACTGCCCACAAATGTGTCCTGGTACCATAGAAGAGCACTGGAGGACAGCAGTGGGAAGTGAGGACCTTTCTAGAACATTATAGAATCAAAGACCCTGTCAGCTATGTAAAACCCACCTTAAACTTATCTGGGACGTCTTGCTGGTTGAGTGGGAAGAGCCGTACAAACTTGAAACTTTCTGCAACCACATAGAAGGGTTTGTTTTGGGCTTTGGCACACACGGCCATCTGGTTGGTCCCAATCTGAGAAGTCAGGGAAATGGAAGAGATGCAAGGTTAGTTTGCACAACTCACTGCAGTGGAAGCACAGAGTAAGGGCAATTCTGGCATGGTAATTTTTTTGTTTCATTTAGTTTTTTGAGACTGGCTTGTTTTCTGTCTTTAAAGGTCCTCTTTGAAGGGTAGGAATTTAGCTCAGCTGGCAGAATGCCATGCTGAAGCCATGAGTTCAAGCCCCAGCCAGCACTGTCCAAATCAGGCCCTGGTGGGAAAAATGTTATCCCTAGAGATTATGGGGAGGTAAGGCAGGAGGATTAGAAATTCAAAGGCATGTTCAATACATACTGAGTTCAAGGCCAGCATGAAATATCTTTAAAGTTGGGGGGGGGGGGAGAAAAAGAAAGGAAGAAAGAAAACAGACCAGGCAGTGGTAGGTAGCTCTGAGTTTGAGGCCAGCCTCGTCTACAGAGCTACTTCAGACAGCTAGGGATACACAGAGAAACCCTGTCTTCAGAAACAAAGGAAAAAAACCCAAAACACTTTTTTTCTTCCAAGTTAAATGGTCCCAAGCCACATGAAAATGTCCAGTACCACCAGCTAGGATGAGCCACTTCACACTTCCTGGGGACTTAAGGCACTTGCTGACCAGTGTCCCAGCAGCACTTTGCACCACAGCCAGTGGAAGGAAAGCCCAATGTCCACTATCAGTGACCATGACCACACTGTCAAATGATGCAGCCCTGACACACGCTGCAGTCGGGGATGGGGGATATGACTGAGGCGGCAGGGTCAGTGAAGTATGCCAAGATCAAAGCCATGAGCTTGGGAGTCTACTTGTGTCAGTAGCACTGGAAAAGTCAGGACAGAACAAAGGGGACCCAGGGATATGGGAAAAGGCCATCTGGGACAAACAAAATTTTACAAACACTGGTGACAGCATGGTGTGATCGTGCTGAAAGCCACTGAACCAAAGCCTCAAGATGGTGCATGCACAGCGTAACATGATCAAGATGCTGTGTCATGGACGGTTTCCTAGGTAAGAAAACCCCGAGGACTAACACCTTCAATCAAATGTAAGCAAAGTGGGAGACACTCAACTCTCTAAGCTGAATCTGTTTTGCCTGGGTGTGGTAATGCATACCTGTAATCTTAGCACTTGGGAGGCAGAGACAGGAGGATCGGATCAGCCTCAGCCATACAAGACCCTGTGTCAAAACACAGATCCAAACAAAAGCACTGATCTGTGTAAATGTGCAAATTGACAAGCGTCACAAAGGCCAGCCTCTAAAGATGAAATCTGTGCTGCAGGGGCGTCCAAGGCCAGTGCGGCAGTACCCACCTTGTTAATAATGCCTCCGTTCTCAACCACTCCTTCAGCACCAACTATGACAAGATCTGCTTTCTCCATGATGTAGCTGAGGAAATGGACAAGAGGAAAGGCTTCACATACTTTTCTTGGCTCTAGTTAATGTCTGATGATGGTGGGTTCTTCCCACAGCTGCCGTTTTCACAGGGCGTCTGCCACAGGCAGCTGCCCTGGCGCTGTACCTTGCCACAGCATTAAAACTGTTGAGCCAAGGTCTCAGTTTGTAGCTTTGGTTGGCCTGGAACTCAGATCCACCTGCCTCTGCCTTGCAGTGCTAATAGGTTGAGTCACAGTTTACTTTTTGAGACAGTAAGAGCTGCTGAAAGTGCTTATGGAACACACTCCTAGCCCTCTTCGTAATGCGTTTTCTTTCCCAGAGACTACTCGTCTTCAGTGACAGACACTGACGGCCCAGCTGGGACAAAGCCTCAGTGAGCCACTGACCACCTAACTGCTCAGCACAGGCTGACTTTATCACAGCTGAGTGTTCCACCCATGCTAGCAATTCCAGCATTTGGGAAGCTGAGGAAGGACTGCGTTCCAGGCCAGACTGGGCTACAGGAGCCTGTTTCAGAAATAAGACCCCCCCCCCCCCCCCCGCCACTAACAGGCATGAACACAGGTCCTATGCTGGGCCCTCTCACGACCTTGTGATAACCTTGCTACTGCAGAGTGGCTGCCTATTAAGGGAGAGATGCTACCCAGTCAGATTTTATGGATGGGATTCACACTCCAATTCGAAAGCCCTGCTTGGAGCCAGCACGCACATGTGGGACAGTCATACTTACCCAACAGCAGCATCCAGCACTACGGTGACAGGAACATTGAGGTGGCAGAGGGCTTTGGCCATTTTCTTCCTGAAGGTGACATGAGGACATTAGATAAAGTCAAAAGGTCCCACAGTGATGCATGATGAACTTGATTTAGACAGAGATGTCCTGTGACCTCAGTGGCTTATGGGGCAGGTCGTGACTCTGGACCAGGGAAAGGAGAACCCAAGTTCTTTAATTTTTTATCTTTATTTTTTAAGATCTAGTTTTTATTTTCTGTGTGTGGTAGTTTGGATGTATTTAGCCCCCATAAGCTCACAGAGAGTGGCACTATAGGAGGTGTGGCTTTGTTCGAGCAGATGTGGCCTTGTTGGGGGAAGTGTGTCACAGTCTACTTCCTGTTGCTTTCTGATCAATATGTTGCTAGCCCCGTGTCGGCCTGCCTGCTGCCATGCTCCCCATCATATTATGGACTGGACCTCTGAAACTGTATGTGAGCCACCACAATCAGATGTTAGCCTTTACAAGAGTTTCTGTGGTTATTGTGTCTCCACACACCAAGAGAAACCCTAAGACAACGAGTAAGTGTTTTCCCTGCATGGGTCAGACACACCACATGCACGCCTGGTGTCTGAGGAGGCCAGAAGAGGGTGTGGGATTCCCTAAAGATGGAGTTACAGACAGTTGTAAACCACCATTTAGGTATTGGGGATTGAACCCAGATCTTCTTCAAGAGCAATCAGTGTCAGTGAGCCATCACTGGTTCTTTCTCTCTCTCTTTTTGAAACAGGGTTTCCCTGTGTAGCCTTGGATGTCTTGGAACTTGTTCTGTAGTACATCAGGCTGGCCTTGAACTCAGAGATCTGCCTGCCTCTGCCTCTCAAGTGCTGGACTAAAGGTGTACACTATTGTGCCTGGCTTATCTCTAGT